TGTGTACGCGGTGAGCCAGGCTTGCACATAAGTGTCCTCACCATGCAGTGCTATGGCCTCCCTGAAGGGCTGAAGGTCTGCCTCCACAGATGAGCCAGTCTCAGCTGGTGAATTAGCCCGGCTGGGGGCCACCATGGCCAGCCGAGGATTGGCCCTGCTACTCCTGTGTGGTGGTGCTTTGCCGCACAGAAAGCTTATAAGATCCTCCCTCCGGATGGTTCGCCGGCGCTTTTTCACCCAGGCCAACATGTCCTGCAATCCAATACAAGTTAAAATTTATTAACAAACGCTGATGCATTCTTTTCCCCCTTAAAACACCCCTGATGTATAAACCTAATGTGGTCTGTAAGCATCTAAATGTCCAAGAATAATGACAGGGGGGTGTAATAATATTAATCTGTCCAGATACCACAGAATGGAAGTGCCTCACAACAGAGGAAGACCCACCTTATTACGGCGTTGGTGGCCTATCTGAATGCCCCGATCGAAGCTTCTCTGATGGGCCTCCACACTCTCTGCAATGGTGGAAGAAATCCAAGAAATAATAAAAAAATACATCACCTTTCATTATATATCCCAAAGCCAAGCAAATGTGAATGGTACCTTTATCAATAACCCATACAACTGGCAGCTTTTAAATCAACAGCACATTTCTTCCAGAGGTTGCCAACTACTCACCCCTTGTTAGCACTACTCTACTGTGGAATCTTCTGTCCACTTTGGGTAGGTAGACTGACAAACTAAGAGTCAAGTCCAGTGCAAGTTCATTGTTATAACGGCAAACATCTGTTTTGCTAGTGTGTTCATGACAACAAGTTTAACCCCACAATGAGCATGTCTTTGACTGACATACAAAAACCTACATGCCCTGTGACGGAAAGGTCAATATGGAGCTGATAATAGTTTGTTTACCACTTGTTGGATTGGACTGTCAATAAAAACATGTCTATCTTTTCCAAGTACAATCATTAACAACTATGGCCCATACTGATGGAATGAAGAACAACAACAACAACTGTAGGTGAAGTAGTTGGCAGATCAATAAATCAAGCTCAAAAGCACAAGTACGGAGAGAATAGTGAAGTGGTTAAATACCTTTGTAGAGGTTGGTTACTGCTGTAGCAGAGTTCTGAAATGGCACCCACAATGACAGGCCCTGCTGATGGCATACTCTGTCTATGGGAGGAAAAAGGGAAAATATATTTGGTTTGTATACATGTATAGCATTTAACAGCAAGCACCCTTGATTAATTGTGACAACAAAACATCAGACAGGCACGACAGCTTGGTGATTACAGGGTTGAAGGTTTGTGAAGTGAAGATCTTTTTTTTTTTTTTTAACTCGCCATTTTGTCTTGCATCTACAATAGCATGAACAGGGTTTGGCATAAAAATAACTGCCAGCTAGCGCTAGATGGCCAGCTTGGCAGCAACTTGTTAAGAAAGCACCGACACACCAACTTAACTGCCCTCTCAGCAGTAAAGTTGCAAAGCCATGTCAAAACATACATGCCAAACATGGGGGAACTTAACAAGTGAAGCTCTGTCAATTTGGGCAAGAATCTATTATGTCTGAAAACACCACAGCAATAGCAGATTGTAGACAAACCAATATTTCCACAGCGAACCAATACTATCCTCGCCATTTTGTGATTATAACGCTGGCTACGCGTTGCTAAACAAACTGCTCACTCAGCAGCAAACCGGGCGTTTAAAAGCAAACGTACACTTCTGTGTTGTTAACTTTACAGCACACTTCAAACCCCAATCGCGTCCAGTATAACAGATGGTTACACTGACAGACAGTATACAAGAGACTGTCATCTGGGAATGTCGCGTAGCTACGATTGTTGTTACCATCGCCATTTTGTAACTAGCCTGGCTAACGTTACGTTAGCTATCCGCTGCTGGTCTAACTTGGTGTCAACAAGCTAGCTTACTGACAAAGAAATGCACGTTAACTTAACCTACTTTAAACCGTGTCCGTCAAACTGGCCACGGTTGTTTAACAACATAAACAAGTGTACAACACCAGACTCAAGTTCATAACTAATTTTTTGTCACATGCTAACACAAGCTAGCTAAATTTAGCATTGCAAAATCAGCTGTAAACGTTACTCAGTACTGGCCAGCGAGCTAACGTGAGCTAACGTTAGCATCCTGCCGACACCGACGCTAACGTTAGTTCACAGTAACGCGCAGTAAGTAGCCAGGTTGCTAACCAACCAGCCAAATGCATACTAGCAATGTAAGTATCGTTAGCCGAGCGAGCGAACAGAAAGCGCTGTTTTGAACCTTTGTATAACTGTGCCACAGCAGTGGCGGAGTTCTGGAAGAGATGCCACAGTTTATCCTGGTCGTTGTCGGCCTCCTCCTCGCTCGGCTCCCTTTGCTCCGCTTCGGCCAAACACTGCCGCTCCCATTTTGAGAACCAGTGCTCGGGTCCGTGTTCCTGTATCTCCGAGTCTCCGTCTTCCTTCTTCTCCTCCATTTAATGCACCGAAACTCGATGAAAATGCGCTTTTAATTTGTTAAGAGGTTATTATCTGGACAGTGTACGAAGAATTATGTGAGCGAATTCATGAATACTGTTAGCGTTTTACTATTTCGCACTACAATATAACACTACTCCCTATTGCCACCATCTGTGGAGATAAGCTTAGCTAACTATTTTTCCTAGTTGCCGACGTCGGGATATATACATCGCAGACTATCGTGTTATGCGCTTAATCCCGCCCATCACACTAGATGTGAACAACAATTGGCGACATGGGCACTGCAGGGTGGGCTTCAAGTCTTTTCTTAGACTTTCATTGGCTTTCTGACACGTCCGTCACCGCACTGACACAAAAGAACCTCAGTGAAAATACCCCATCTACTGAAGCTTGGAAGAGAGAGAGAGCAAGTTTTGTCACGAAAAATCGCTGTTAGAATAATAATAATAATAATAATAATAAAAAAATATTATACATAGCATAATTTAACATAATGTAATGTGTGTTTTTAAAAGTCCCTAATAAATAGAGTGTATCATTATTATTAGTATCTTATGTGAACTTATTGCCCCCTTTAGTTGATTCATAACCTACATGCTAGAAAAAGACTTTACTAATCATATAAAGTTTAAGCAAAACTATAACATCTGACAACTGTGAGACCTCCATATATGAGACAATAAACTCATGAGAAATCCATGAAATGTTAAGTTGTAAAAAAAAAACCAACAACAATGTTTTAATAATGAACATAAAGGAACATAAAATGAGATTATAAACGAGAGTGAGTCAGTCAGAAAAAGCGCAACTGCGACGCTGTCTAAGGCCAAGTCCCAGTATAGTGCTGTCTTTTCTCCACTGGATGGGGCCATTTACTTAAAATCTGAAGGCTTGTCTGTCTGTGCAGCCACGGACCGTCTGGTTTCAGCACTGCAGATATGGACCAGCTAAGTAGTAGTAGGGACACTACCTTGATAAAGGGATAATTCATGATTGGACGTAGGTTGTCCTTCAGTGAGTAAAATGTGCTGAGTAAAAAGTATTGTTGTAATTGATTTACAGTTTTGCATGGCAGTTTGTATTGACGCAATATGATTATGATTTGTTTTGCTTTTTTAAGTGTGTAGGCTGTTTATTTAATGAATACAAAATATTGTAAAATGGAAATTTCTCCACAGTATAGTGACAGTGCATTTAATCTGTTGTGATTGCAGGCTATTTCTTTTTGGATAAATAATTCAGGGATTTTTTTATGTGTGTGATCTGAATTAGTACCTTTAATTTTGGCGTCTTTTCTGTAAATTACAATACTTTAATCAAACCTTAAATTAAGTATTTTGCTGCAAAAAGAGGCCCAGCAGAGACACCACCAGGACAAACCCTGTGAAACTTTTGAGACACACAGACTAACTTGAAGAGCATCAGGCTGTATCACACTGCATTAACGCTTTACTTGAATAACCTTATAACAGTAAAGGCCGCCTGTTAATGGTGTGATATGATTAGTCTTACTCATACAATGCATATGTGCTCATGTGTTTTTCATTCAATTTATTTATTTATTTATTAATCATTTTTTGCACTTTGCTGGAGAAAAAAAAAACTACGAGGACTTACAAATAAAAATAACTGATTAAACGTATTTACTTATTTCAATACTTTAGTTTATGTCCACATTCAAACAAAGATGTTTCTCTCCCGATCAATCACAATTAGTGACTGGGGCCCGAGTGCAACGTGCAGTCACCAGTATGCCCTAGCCCTGCATTGCCCATCTTGTAATTTCCATTAATCTAGTAACTGTTATCATTACTTATATTTATATATTTCCCCTCCGGTGTATCAGTCGCACACGCCTGATCCCTAAGGTTTAACATGCATGTGAACCTGGCTGCTGGGGATGGGCCAGTGTTTGGATCTCCATGCGGATGTGACATTTCAGAGAAGAGCGCGACCGCCATTTTGAGTTTTACCTCAGACTCAACACATCACAAACCACGGGAGGAGCGGGTTGAGAGCCACACAGCTCACGGCTAACGTTGTATGACCGGGCACATTCCTCACTAGAAACAAGGGGTTAGCTAGACATGCAACGAGGTGCCGCGTTTCGTCGTTTATCGTGTTAGGGGCGGTTTGGGGGAATTGGTTTATGTCGGGCCGTGGCAACTCTCGTCTCCGCGAACTTCCAAATCAACATTAGTGCTATTCCGTATTGGAAACTGCTTTGAATGGATAGCTTTTTCCTCCGCTCTCCCCCAGACGAGGGACAATCGGAGGAGCACACGGACTGGGGATATCGCAGGCAAAGTTGTTGAATGTGTGTCTATATCAAATGAGCCTTTGTTTTCATTGTTGTTGTACCTATATTAGCAGTTGGCTGCCTAGTGTCAGGTAGCTTAACGCTAGCTATAAACAGGGTATTTGTTCCTCACGGTGCAGGTTGTGCTCTGCGTTGTCTTATTACCCCACATTTCCCGGGGTAGAGCCGGATTGATTTAGCTAATTTCAGCGGGCCTCCCCCCCCTTGGAGCCCCGGTCCATCCATCCCACCTCCCCCTCCGCCGTCAGCCAGCGACTCGCACCCACCACAGGCGCCGAGATTGGGCGAATAGCGAGCAAATACGTCCGCGTTTCTCTACCCGCTCCCCCTCCTCACTCCCCGGCGCTGACAGCGGACAAGGCCGAGGTCGCAACAGAGCAGGCCCGGCCGCCGAGGCTCGACCTGTCCACTCCACCTCCGCATCCTACCACACCTCACCAGCAGTCCAGAACCCGGTTCCCCACCGAGCCGACCCTGGACAAGGTCGAGGGTAACCGAGATAGCAGGGAGCCCCGCATCACTACCACAACAACAGCTGCCAACATGAACCACCACCATCACCACACGCAGCAGCAGCAGCAGCAGCAGCAACAGAAAGCCGGCGAGCAGCAGCTCAGCGAACCAGAGGACATGGAGATGGAAGGTAAGTAATGGTCCCAAGAAGGGTCCACGGACACGATACAGTACTTTATTTATTTTCTTCATAAATTAACAGTTGCACGAGAAATGCATAAAGTTTTATTTGTGCAAGCCGAGCTCAACTTTACAGTAAACACGAAGGCCCCGAAGCTAGCTAGGATAGCCGGGTTGCATTTTTTTTTTTTTTTTTTTTTTTTTTTTTGCTGATTGTGCGTCCGTTGCAGCATTACTTGTGTGGAGCTGACCTCATTTTGCGTTATAAGCGAATGGACCTTGTGTTTGTCTCCGTGTGCCTGCAATATTCCCCCGGCTTTCAAAATAACACCAAAATGAGCTGCCCGTCCACACTGTTAAGAAAGATTAGCCACACAAATCATTCATTCGGACTGGCTACCGTATTTTCTAAATACACGGTCCCGGTTCCGTTCGTCCGTCTGCTGTAACAAGTTCTCGGATGCACTTTGTCAAATCATCGCCGCTCTTCAATCCACACGCAGCCGCGGAACTCCAGGCCCCGTTTATTGTTGATCATTGAAATGTTTGTAAACAGTCCGACTGTTAGTCCCGTAAATAACATGGAACCATCGCTAGGTGAATTAATCTCTCTACGTTGACTTCACTGTGGGCTCTGGGATGATTTTGACAGTTATCGGCACCTGCGTCCTTCATCAAAGTTAGTTATTCCGTGAGTATAGTGACCGCAGCTTTTCTACTCTCACTGATCGCGTTGAACCACAGACATTTAATGACGGTCCGACATGTAACGTTACACTAGCCTCTCTAATATAGATAATGTGTGTGTGTGTGTGTGTGTGTGTGTTAGCATCGTGTCTGATGGCTTGTACGTTAAATGTGGGCCTGTAAAGAAACGATATCGGTTAATAACTACAGAGTAAACTCACTCAGTTTGCCCCCCGAATACATTTGACTGGTTAATGTTGGTTGTAAATACGTTTAGTGCGGGCCACTGCAGCTACCGGTTTAATTGCCGTATGTGTCCATTAAGCTGGAAAAGCGTAATGTAGATCGCTAGCGGGGCAGCTAATTGTATGCTAATCAATTAGCCTCGAAGGCCCACTTCTTTACGTTTATTCACTGGCTAGCATGCTAGTTAGCTGATGAGCTAATGCTCGCGGAGGGGGTGTGTGGCGTCCCAAAATGGTGGCTTGTATTTTGCAACGTTCAATCTGGGTATTGCACGAATGTTAGGCCTTGATTATCTCCCTCACGTAATCTTTATTTTCCCCCCCACTTGTTTCTAATGGCTGCCGTACCCACTGTGGGTGATATTTTTTCTCTAGTATCAATCTTAGCTTGTTAGCTGGTACTAGTGATTTCAGCTAATGTTAGCTAATAACGGCCTGCAGCAGTTGAATCTGTGGCTAACGTTAAGTGTTTGCTAGATAGCTAGGGAGCTAACGCAGATGCGTCAATCGTGATTTGCTGAATTGACTGTGGTGCAACCCGTTTAGCCCTTCCAGAAGAACATACTACAATCTGAAGCGCTGAATGTAAACGATGCTTTGGTTGAGTTGTTTGTTAAACGATATGCTGATGTTTGACAGTGTGTTGTGTGAAACGTGTGGCAGTGCTGGCAAGTAACGGTAGTCGCCGCTGCGGTAAGCCAGGCCCGCACTGGGGCAGCGCGGGGATTTGCTGCTTCATTGTATGGAAGACCAAACGGCATGGAGCTCGCCATTTTTAATGATCTGTGTTTTTGTTAGCCAGGTTTGGAGTCAGGACCACCTCTCTTAGTAGCGTGTATCAAGCGTTAAACACACAAACAAACTCCCGCCGTACCGTCATTCTTATTAAGTTTTACCGATGTCAACTTTGGACAGAGTAGAGGCTTGTGGGAGCCCTCAGCATCACTGCGTCATTTAGTCCTAGTGATTTTATTATCTGTTCACAGACACACATTGTTGCTTGTTATTCGGCAACATGCAATATAAAGCACGTCTTATTTAATTGCAGACATAAGCAAGTAGACTCAGCCTCAGCCTCAGCTGGCATCTGCTTTGTTTTAGTCGTTATTTTTTAGCACTTGTCTTACTAGTAGCAGGTGCACTCACTAGACATCCTCACCCCTTTCTTGCTGGTTCACCCTTTCGGGGTTCTCTCCCAGTTCACTGCAGCCTTACAAGGATAGTGAAAACAAGTTGACAAAATAAACTCCTCCTCACTTTTTCCAGGATCCTTACCACATTTTCTTTATGGTATGATGCTTCATACAGTTGCTGTGGCATTAATCCATCATGTGCTCAGCATATCTGAGTCATTTTTTTTATCGGTTTTGCTACAGCAGTATTACTAGGAATCCAGGCGGTAGGTGCCACACAATTAGGCGACAATTATTAATGCCGGTAATGGCTGTCCAAAAATTACAGGAATGAGCAGAAAATAAATATTATGCCATTTCTCAAAATATACATTTTGTTATAAATCCCATAGGTCTAGTAGGTGTAGATTAGCATGCTCGTAAATATCTGTTATTGAAATCAATGTTTCGTTTAATGGTATTATTTGTTCTTTATGATCTTAGGGATTGTCCATACGTTACAATTTTAACTGTTTTCTGTCAAAATTCAGAAAGTAGAAAAGTGTGGTCTGATGCATCATAATATCATTTTTCAGTCATTGCTTCTTCATGTCTCAGGAGTTTTTTTTTCTTGACGATTAAAATAACGTATTTGCTGTTTTCAGTCCAGAGACTGGAGCATTAGGAGAGATTATAATACTTTCGTGTGCACTTCTGACTTGAATGGAAAGATGCATTTGTGATTTTTTTTTTTTATTAACAGTTACTGTTGTAGTGCAACCATAGCAGGTATTCAAATCAATAACCGCAATAATGGAAAAAAATATATTTATGAATAATAAATCAGTCTATTGAGATGCTTGTGACTTTCCCCTTCCAGGCATCTGCGTAGTTTAAGTGACAGTAAGCTCTACAGTAAGCCGTGGTGACGTTTTGTCCAATATGGAATTCTACATCCAGCTCCAGCTCGTGCAGATTTCAGAGACTGATCCATTAGCATGTACTTCTCAAAGGTTTCAGGATATACTGACACAGTGGGCGGGACAAGAAGTTGTCACGGAGTTGACTGACAGACCCCATTAGCAGGGTGTAATCCACTTGAGGAATCGAGGTCAGTCCTTCTGGAGGACTTGGTCAGTAAGGTTACCTGGAGACACACACACACCTAGCTGACACCGCTGCGTCTGTTGCCTCGGAGGAAGACAGGAAACACAGATAGACATGAAATACAGTGTAAGAGACAGACCCACACATCAACACATTTGGAGACATGCGTGTTTGTATCAATGCTGTCGTTACTCTCAAGACTGGCTTCTGCAGCACCATTGTTATTATCACAGGATACAGGCAGATTTCACTCTCTCCTTGAAGTCTACTCAAAGCTCCTGTTTCTGTCATCAGTGTGTTTTGATAGATGAGACTGTGCATCGAGCCGTCTCATTATTCGGCTGGGATAATTGTTGTCCTCTGTGCGTGTGTTTTTGTTTGAGCGATGACTTGCAGCTTAATCCTGCATTGTGTCCATAATTACCCAGCCTACTGTAATGTTGCATGGTCTTTGTTGCACACACACATTCTCTCTCTCTCGCTTGCCCTCGCTCAGACACACAGACCAGAAAAGAAGACTTGTCATGCTGTCTCAGCAGGGTTTTCCCAGTGAAATGTATGAAAGGGGAAAGGAAGGAGCACTGTCTGGAGATACAGGAAATAAAGAAGAGAGACAGTAGTTGCAGAATTACTTTTTTGTTTTTGTTTTTAAAAGTTAAACTGCTCAGACTTCTTTTCAAAGGATCTATTCAAAGCAACTAGGAAAAATAAGACTCATAAGAACGTGATTAATCTTCCCTCAAATTTTCCATTACCTAAGGATGATACTAAGTTAGAAAAAGTATTGTAAGAATATAAGTTGCACTGATGTTTATATTCACATTTTTTAGAAATAAAATGATTCAGCAGTAGTAAAAAGCGGATTGTCTATTGTAGGCACAGCTTTTAGTTTCAAATGGTTATTGCTGTTGCTCGATCATGACTGGTAAACATTAATGAAAACTACTTCTAATATGAGAGGAAGCCTTGTCTGTGATATTTTTTTCTTTTTAGCTTCTGATACTCTATTTTATTAATTATGGTAGACTAATTTCTGACCTGCTGAAGTCACAGTTAGCAACAAAGAGGCTACAGCAAGCTTTCTTCCAGTTGACTAAAGGTCTTTACCATGCCATCCATACAGTCATTTCATATTTTTTTCTTTCTTTGTACAGCTGGGGACACAGACGACCCTCCAAGAATCCCGGCCAACCCAGTGATCAATGGTAACGTGGCCATGGCAGATGGACACAACAACACAGAGGAGGACATGGAGGACGGTAAGGACGACGTGCACAAACACGCTTGCAAACCATTAACACTTTTGCTTGTTTTGATAATTGTGCTGTGATATAAGCAATGATCCTGGTTTAGTGTCATCTTATGAGTGACTCTGTAGAGTTGTTAGTGTCATGTAGGTTTTGAAAAAAGTTATATCCACAGACCAGTTACATCGGGTCTTGTCAGTGAACAGTAGAGGAAACTGGTTCTCTGTCCGGAATCTAACCTGTCACCTTTTTTCTTGTATCCTCAATCTTTCCACAGACACCAGTTGGCGGTCAGAGGCGACTTTCCGCTTTGTAGTAGAACGCTTTAGCCGCCTGAGTGAGTCAGTGCTCAGCCCGTCCTGCTTTGTCCGGAACCTTCCATGGAAGATAATGGTGATGCCGCGCTTCTATCCTGACCGGCCACACCAGAAGAGTGTGGGCTTCTTCCTGCAGTGTAACGCAGAGTCAGACTCCACGTAAGTGTCTTTGGTGGGACGAGGGATTATGGGGGACTTTGCCAACACACAGAAGCATACACCAGAAAACTTTGATGGTCCCGTCAAACATACAGAAATAGTGTTTTCTAACATTGAATAACATTCAACGATAATACATTTTAAGAGGCCACCTTTCACAAAACTGCTGTTCAAGTCAGTGTAGACATATCTCATTAGCGCTGAATAAGTATGTTTATACCTCCTTACCGGTTTTGCTGAATGACACTTTATGTTAAGTTAGACTATACTTATTTTAGGACATATACTACAGTAAAATCTTGACATAATGGTGCTTATATAATTACTGCCTCCCCACTTTTCTCTGTTTTATAACCTTGAGTCACAGTTAACATAACTCTGTTTTTACACTGAAAGACTCTTTCATGTTGATGTCAAACAATCTCTGCAAATTAGTGTAGAGTACAGATTACATTTTCATTTATTATCGAGATATAAAAGCCTACCAGGGCCTGTTAAGCATCCCACCACCATGCTTTATATGTGACATGGTGTGTTTCTGTGCGGCCCATGGATTATGTGAAACGTTGCATGTAGTTCGATGGGCAAAAAGCTCAACTTCCTCTTAGCCATGGGACCCGGAAGCTCCTTCAAAACTGCCATAAGACATTTGATGGGCAGGGCCGCTTCCTTTTTGGAGGTTCAGTGCAATTATTTTTGTATTTACTTTTTATTAGGTTTTTTAGAGAGTACATGTAAACAAAAGTAATACATACGTGCCAACCGGACACAAAGCACAGCGCTGGTGGGGGGGGGGGAGGAAAAGAATGTAAGCAAAAGTAAAAAATAAACAGGGGTAGGGTCCATCTCTAAACTTAACAACAAAGCCTACATATATACATATCTTGCATCAATTCACAATGATTCTGCACCTGGAAGAAAAAAACAACAATTTCAAGATGGAAGATATTCCCTCATCACCACTATGTTTCCACGACACAAAATCAGGCCTTATGGTTTGCAGCCATTTAAAAGAATATTTACATCACTGTACTGCAAGGAATATTTGGGTAACACGCACTTGCATCTGATTAATATCTTGTCATAGGTTGATTAAAAGCAGAGTATCTCCATTCAATTTATAATGCGATTTCTAAAAACGCTGGACTGCACAGATGACGATTTTGGTGTGTATTAGTAAGTGGGGTGAATACTTTCGTGTTTTGAAATTAATCTTTAATTTGCATCAAGTACTTTGGATACCTCAGTTTCGGTCAAAGGTATTCATCAAAGTTGAACCAAGAAACATGAAAGGAAGTAAAATGGGCTGTTAAGGCCCTGTCACCCTGTAATCCCCCCACTGATTAATGCTTTTTACTGATAGAATCACCGTTTACCACAGGTTGTTGCTACACAATAAAGTCACAGTTGACTAACATGGTCTTTTGTTTTAACAATAATAAATCAGTCTTAATCGCTTTAAAAAAGGAAACAACTGCTTAATACATTGTTGAAATGTGTACAGAACTTACTGGCTGTGAATTTTCTTGAGCTAGCCTGACATTAATTACACTATGTGAAACACAGGATGGAGTTTATATTTCCTCATTAACCTCAACAGAATCTAAATTAGATAGCACTCTGATGATTTGCCCGCTATGCATGCACAGTTCCCCAATAATATAGTATGTTAAATCTGCTACTAGAGCCAGATCTTTATCAAAATACACACCACGTGATACGTATACCAGAATTTATTCAAAGACGTATGGTTGTTCATGAGAATATGGTAATAAAAAATGTCCTGTCTCACAATGTTAAGATATCCTTTACAGATTTCTGAATCCTGTTCTTGGTGTTTCAGGTCATGGTCATGCCATGCACAGGCCATGCTGAAGATTATCAACTACAAAGACGACGAGAAGTCCTTCAGCCGCAGAATCAGTCACCTGTTCTTCCACAAAGAGAATGATTGGGGCTTTTCCAATTTCATGTCCTGGAGTGTAAGTACAGAAACCGATGACTTTTAAATAGTATTATTATTACTAGTGCAGTGCCCGTAGGAAGTATGTATTGCTATAGAAACGTGGGAGGTTAAGTAGCTTTTTCATGGATGGCCAAATGAGGTTGTGTTTGAAGATTTGTGAATGCACAGAACGGGACCGAACAGCCGGCAAAATCCGCTGCAGGTATAAAGCCGCTCGTGCCACTGCAGGTATAGATCAGCGTGTTTCTTAAGGTGTGTTTTGGGGGTGGGCTCTGCAGTGATTGGCTCTGGTGCGCACGTGGCTATGGTTGACAATGCTAGCGGAATTCGTAAATAATTTATGAAATAATTTATTAACAGTTTCTTTGTAGTGCAAACAAAGATGATGTTGCACACCCTTAAACCACACAGCAGCCATGTTGAAACTCTCAGGTCAGTCTGATCCTGATCTGCAGAGATATTTGAGACACAGACACACACAGACAGACACAGACAGAGAGAGATTTCTTGCTTTAATAGAGAGATTGATAGCCAGATACGTTTTTCAGATTGGACAAGAACCACCAAAGAAACACTGGCTTTTTGCTGAAGAGGACACATTTGTTTGTTGATTGGGTGGATAAAAGAGGCTGTGCTGACAGAGCCATTAAATTTTTGTGCTGCATAATGCCATTTGCTCAATGTAAGTAAAGGCTTTTACTTCTACCCATTTGTATTGATATTAACCGTTTTGGTGGTTTGGTTGTGTTTCAGGATGTGACTGATCCAGAGAGGGGCTTCGTTGATGATGACAAAGTCACCTTTGAAGTCTATGTCCAGGCAGATGCCCCACATGGAGTGGCGTAAGTAGCTCTTTTCTCAGGGTTTTTTTTCTCTCGGGCTTGTGTTTTCTTCAGTGTTCCCAGGTTTCATTTCTCCGATGAGGTTTCATAAATTATAACCAACTTTCTCTCTGTAAACAGCTGGGACTCTAAGAAACACACAGGCTATGTTGGACTGAAGAATCAAGGAGCTACCTGCTACATGAATAGCCTGCTACAGACTCTCTTCTTCACCAACCAGCTACGTCGGGTATGGTTTTATCTTTGCATGTTAGTTTAGTGCAATGGCTTAAGCTGAGCCACTAAAGATGTGTATTGCATGTAAGGATTTCACGATAACAGAAATTTAGTAGTTGATGCCAATAACAGTAAAATTCTGCTATTCTTGATACCAGTTCGATTCCACCATTCAGTGTCCCCTGATCCCAATTTAATATCTACTGATACCAAGTCCTGATCCAATACTTATATTTTCCTTAATAATACAGGCAAATAGCTCTCCAATGCCTTAAGAATAACATTGCCTGCAACCAAGCTATAAAGATTCTCTCTGTAATCTTTTTTGATCTTGTCACTGTCTGGAGGGAATTTCTTTCTCCCTTTTAAAGTGTCCTGCAGTGTCTGTTGCTTTGGTGCAGCCTTTACCTGGATGAGCTGTATCCTGCTGAGTGTTTATTTTCCCCATCTGTACATCTTTTGCGTGGATTACATTAATTACTCTTATTTGCTTTTTGATGCACTTGCAGTGGTATGGGGGAGTATGCGGCTCTCCACCGCTCTCTGACCAGGAACTCAGTCTCAGAACTCAGTCTCAGAGCTCACACATACACACACACACAGAGGAGAGAGTTGATGAGCACTGTGCACAAAGTTTCACTAGTAAATCACTTTTACAGCTGCATTTGTCACCAACTTCTAAATCATCTTCTTCCTGTGGGAGTTAACAGCCGACTACAGTATTTGTAGCCATGTACGCTGCCCCGCCAGTTCCGCAAGAATCGCATCCTCAGCACCCTATGGTGCTGCAGAAAAAACGATTATCATATTTTCATAATTTTGGTAGCAATCTGGTACCGAAGTACCAGTTCTTGTGACACCCATAACTGCATTTGTAAATGTGTGCACTAGAGCTCCAGTTCAGTGTTAGTATCTTTTGTCCAAATGTTGATGTGTCGCAAGTATTAAAAGCCTTCAAATGTACACTAAATTTTAAAATGTATTATGAAAGTCGCAACCTGCATCTGTGGTTTATATCGACTCTGTGTGACTCTCCTCCCCCTATCAGTATGAGTACCTATTTTGTTTATTAACGTTCTTCTGTAACATCTGCTGATTCTTCTTGCAGCACTGTTAACACTATCATTTTGTTTCACTGAGGCCCTCTCATTCACCATAGTCTTGATGCTGTTTCATAGGGTTTTCCAGCAGGACCGCTGAAAAAAGTCATGAAAATAACAGTTTAAATATAGAAAATGTCTTCACGAAACAGTGAATATTAGTAGCTTCAATCTATAAGGGTTACTTTCTAAAATTCCTAATGCTTGTGTGAATCCTCCTGACCCTCTTCCCAGGCCGTGTACATGATGCCCACAGAGGGAGATGACTCCTCCAAGAGCGTTCCCCTGGCACTGCAGAGGGTTTTCTACGAGCTGCAACACAGCGATAAACCCGTCGGCACCAAGAAACTCACCAAGTCCTTCGGGTAGGGTAGACTTCTGTGTTATTGATAGCTCTCACCTATCCTTTGACTTAAAGTTAGTCAGATGGAGGCCAGAATGATTAGTGAGATGAGTATTTAATGTTTTTGGCTCAGTGGTTTGCTTATAGCTTTTTCTCTATATTTTCTTTTTGGGATTTCTTAGTTTGAATAACAAGATCAACAGTGTGAAGTAACTATAAAATACAGTATATGACACTGCTGGGGCCAGATGATCTTTGCAGAGCAAACATTTTAATATTATCTTAAATATTATTTTTAGTTGAATCTGTGAGTACTGTATCTAACTATCTTGCTGTGCTTTTATTCCTCTGTGTAGATGGGAAACACTAGATAGCTTCATGCAGCATGATGTACAGGAGCTGTGCAGAGTGGTGAGTTCTCTCATATTCTCTTAAAGAATGTGGGTGTGTAAATGTATGCATGCTGAATAATTACTGACTGTGTGTGTGTGGATGTGCCTGTGTTCTAGCTCCTGGACAACGTGGAGAACAAAATGAAAGGCACTTGTGTTGAGGGAACCATTCCCAAGCTCTTCAGAGGAAAGATGGTGGTATGTTTTCTCTCTCTGTACCTCTCCTCATCTGCTTCGTCTTTATAGTTAGGGTCACATTTTGTGTGTTTGTTAAAAAATTCATCAGTCTAGCCTGAGTTACGGTTCAAAAAGACAAATAACCATTGATGTTTATTTGTTGAAGGTCAATGTTTTCAGTGTTATTTAGCATAGTAATGCCAAAGTATGCATTATGTAAATACTGCTGCAGATTTTGTTAAGATAGTGGTGATGTGAAGTAGTCTAACTTAACACAGGATGTAGCCTCGAACAAGGTCAGTTTAAGAATAGAATGAGGTTAAATCAAGAAATAATATTTTTAACTTGCCAATTATGTCATACTGTGTGTGTGTGTGTGTGTCACTCCAGTCATACATCCAGTGTAAGCATGTGGACTACCGGTCAGAGCGGATAGAGGACTATTATGACATCCAGCTTAGCATAAAAGGAAAAAAGAACAGTGAGTAGCAACATCAACACAACTTCATGTTTTTTTTTTTTTTCTCAAACAGAGAAAAGATTTAGAAGTTCGTTACCAATGTGGATGTTTTTTTGATGCCATCTGTGCTTTCTGCTCATTTCCAGTCTTCGAGTCTTTCAAAGATTATGTTGCAACCGAGCAGTTAGATGGAGACAACAAATACGACGCAGGAGAGCATGGCCTGCAGGTGAGGCTTCACAGTGACTGGATCTAAATAATTTATGTATTTTGTTCTACTTTATTTTAGTTTGCTTACATTTATTTTTATGTTTTATTTATTTTGCTACACCTCAGCTGATATTTAAGCTAATTCTGAACCCAACATTTTTTTCCAAGTCTGTCATTAACTGATAAAGCCAAGACAATGTGCAATTTGAATGTGAGACAATACACTTTAGTATGTAGGTCGTAAACTGTTTCTGAAACGTCAGCTGTGAATTTAAGACATAAGATACTGGTTTTGCAAAACACCTGAGGTGCATCTGGCCGACAAGCTGGATATGGTTGCTGTTCTGATTGTATTTTAGTTTTTCCATTTCAGTTTGTTTCTGTAACATCTGAAAAAACACTGTGAAATACATGATTACGTGGTCTGAAATCAAATCTTGAGGAATGCTACCTTGGTATTGGCATGGAAGACGAGCAGGCATAATAATAACGCTAAAGTGCCTTCATGAGATTTGAAAAATGTGTTTGGGTTAAAAGTCTGGTTAAAGGAAATTACCTAACGCCGTGGTTCCCAACCTTTTTCCCCTAAGGGACCCCTTTTCTATCATTAAGTAAACTGATGACCCCTGACTAAGTTACACATTTTATGGTTATTAACACTACACAACAATTGATAAACTGTAGAATGAACTCAAATAGCGAGCACAATAACTGGGAAGTTTGTGTTAAACGAGCTGTTTGGATGAATTTTGATTGTTTTCTGATGGTTTAGTAACTTTTTATACAATTCTATTTATCTATTGTGTACTTCTTATTTTTTAACAACAATACATTCTAAGCAAACAAACTTAATTTAGTTTTGTTAACAGAATTTTAGGAAATACTGAGATATAGGCCTACTGTGTATATATTTAAGTTTTCTTACACCCCTTAAAATCAAGAAGGCCTTTGAAACCCCCTGTGAAGCTTTGGGGACCCCCAGATTGGGAACAACTGACTTAGTGGCGTAAACATTAAGGGTTGTATAATTAATGTCTGTGGGATGTCCTGACCAGATGTCTGACATGTTTGTTTGTCCTGCAGGAAGCAGAAAAGGGAGTGAAGTTCCTTACCTTCCCTCCAATCCTTCATCTGCAGCTGATGAGGTTCATGTATGACCCACAGACTGACCAAAACATCAAGATTAACGACAGGTAGAACAAACACACCACTCTCTCACTTTCACACACTTGCATGTACATTTTTATTTATTATGTTTACACAATGCGTCAGTGGCTGGCGCAAAGACATAATTTTAGAGACGCTCTTGGTCCATGTTAACATAGGTTAAAGAAGCAGTCTATTTCCAGAAATGGCTCATGAGCCTGCACTGTCTGAACAGCATGCCCTGACCTCCTGCACTAAGACAGTGAGAAAGTGAGTCATCATTGAGTGTTTTTTTTTTTCTTCTTTTCTTTAGGCCGTATAATTCTATGTAAAGCTCTGTGGGAGCTAATTGTGTTTTAACAATCCACTGGGATAATATCACTTTCAGACCACACGCACACACGTGCAGCCATCCAGAATAGTTGATTTTCCCCTGTAGCGTCTCAACAGGCTCTGAGTCATCCTTGTGATGCTGCCATCAGTACCTGGCCCCCAGAGGGCTTTGTATATGTAGACACACATTAAACTCTTCCTTTCTCTCTTCTCCTCGTCTTGATATTTGACCCTTTTCTTTCAATCCTATTTTTATTCTACACTTCCCATCCCTTCTTCATATGTTTATTTCTGCCCTCCCATTCTCTTCTTGTTTCCTCGTGCCATTTTCTCCTGCCTGCCATCTCCCATCTTCTCTAATCTCTCCCTCCCTGCCTCTCTATCGTTTGTTTGTTGTTGTTGTCTGTCTATCCTCATTGCTTCTCCTTCCTTCTCTTCCTCCTCTTTCCTCAATAGGTTTGAGTTTCCTGATCAGTTGCCCCTGGATGAGTTCCTTCAGAAGCCAGACTCCAAGGACCCAGCCAACTACATCCTGCATGCAGTGCTAGTGCACAGCGGGGACAACCATGGCGGTCACTACGTCGTCTATCTTAACCCGAAAGGGGACGGCAAAGTGAGTGTCAAGGAACCAATAGTGAGAACAATTTTATTTATGCACCTTTCACCCAAAAATTCTGTGTGCTTGGTTGGGGCTCTACACTACTAGCTCTAATTTTGTAGAAGTTTTTGTCATAACTTGCGATAAACTAACACACGGGAGCTCAACTTTAGATATGAGATCTACTTTGTCATCATGATGAGTACACATTTGATATTGTGGAATTATACACTGGTCAACTAAAGAACTGACAAACACAAAAAAAATCCACTACAATCTGTTTTTGGTAAACAATGTTTTACCACATTAGAAATGTCAGTAAATCATTTTAAATCAACAGTATAGAATAATGAGCTGAACAGCCAATCAAAGAGGTTTCTCTCCCCACTTCTGCTGCCGATTCAACATGCTCAGTTGGCTGGAGAAGTGCAGAAGACACTGCAAAAACTAGGGCTACATACGCTCACCTGTGGGCCAACATTGACGGTGCATCGGAGCCTTTAGGCCTGGCGGGCTGCCGTGTTTGCAATACACTAACGGAAACTCTGAGCTATATGTATAAATTATACTTGCATGAAATTTTGTCCATAGAACATGTTTAAGAGACTGGTTTCAGAGAAATAACAAGGATGCCACAGCCAAGATACGAAATATTTGCTAATGTTAAAAACAAGGTGATTCAGAGTTAACAAGTAATGGTCAGATAAGCTACTTTACAGAAGGGTATCTCACCACTTAAACATACTACAAGGATTTGTTGTTATGAGTCTCAACTTAATACTGATGCAATCAAGAGTGTGTTTTACGGACTGTATAGTTTTTATGCTACATGTTGCTGCTTTAATGTTAAATGAACTGACTGTTCAAAACCAGTGTTGAACTAGCTACACAATAGGAACTGACTGAGTCCAGCTTTTGCCGCTGACGATGCATGTGGTATCGTTCTTGTGTTCAGTCCTTGTATTGTCTGTTTTTTCACTCCCAGTGTTAAAGGTCCAGTGTGTAGGATTTTGTGGCATCTAGCTGTGTAGTTGCAGATCAAAATTCCCTCGCTTCACACACCCAGCCACCCATCACCCATTAACCACTCCCAGCCACCTGCTGAACTCCTCTCTCTCTCTCTCTCTCTCTCTCTCTCTCTCTCTCTCTCTCTCTCTCTCTCTCTCTCTCTCTAGTGCAGTGTGATGTATTTTGTGATTGATAGACAAGGTCAACTGGTTGAGCACCTCTGTATTAGTCATCCTTTTAAGAGGAGGACAATGGGACATTTATTGATAATAGAATATAACATGATCAGGGAAACTTTTAGCATTATTAATTTGCATGTTGGCATTGGGGTTGATCGAAAGCATGTCAAGATGACTTGATGTAAATAGTCGTCTTAAGTGCTCTCTGGTTTTCTCTTTTTATCCCGTCTCCGTCCTCCCCCCCTTATCTCTCCACCTTGTCCCCCTCATTCTTTCGCTCTCTCCAGTGGTGTAAGTTTGATGATGACGTGGTATCGCGGTGCACCAAGGAGGAGGCCATAGAGCACAACTATGGTGGACATGACGATGACCTCTCAGTGCGCCACTGCACTAACGCATACATGTTGGTCTATATCCGTGAGTCCAAGCTCAGTAAGTAACATACTCCATCTCCTTCTGTCTTTTTGGACAAAACTAAACAAAAGCTGGTGCTAGAGACTGTCCCATAAACACATGAAAGATCCCCTCAATTGTTCCAGTTAATCTGCCTTTAAGTATAATACTGTATAAATATAAGGAATGTATGAGGGGCGTGGGAAGTTTTAATTCCTGTTTCCACTTTGTCATTTGGTGACTGAATTTCTCACAATGGCTGCCCTCATTTACTGTCTTAGTGACTATAGTAATCACAAATGTTACTGTATTGCACTCTGTCTGCTCTATAATTGTCACTTGCATCTCTCTGTATCTCAGGCGAGGTGCTCCAGCCAATGACTGACGTGGACATCCCCCAGCAGCTGGTGGAGCGTCTGCAGGAGGAGAAAAGGGTGGAGGCACAGAAGAGGAAGGAGCGCCAAGAGGCTCACCTCTACATGCAGGTCCAGGTAGGAAACTGGGACTGCTGTTTAATAGCTCTTAAGTCTGTGATGCTTTGCAGAGACAAAGTAGTTTGGTGGCTGTTAAATTTTATGAACCTGCTGCTTGGTGGAAATGTTGCAGGGTAACTTGGTATTTTTTCAACCTGGACCTTATTTTCCCATGTTTTTGTGTCGGAGGAATTGAAGCAAACAACAAATTTTGAATTTGGTCCAGTATGTAGGGGGCTGCAAAACAGGGTACAACATAATCCATACGAGCATTTTTTTGCCACTGACCAGCTTTTACCTGATCCACTGTGTGTGTGTGTGAGATCATGGAAAAGGTGAGCGTAGTAATGCTGGCTGGAAGAGTTTGTTGTGTTGGAGTACAAAAAGTGTAGCTTAGTGTTCATTTAAAAGATTTTCAGTGACACTACTGAATATTTTGCTGATTTGGAGGAGTCTTTTGAATTCGATTGCCACCTGTATTTATTTGAGCTGAGTATACGGATGATGTTGGGGCTGCCCACAACTAAAGATTTTCCTAGTTGTAGTCGTTTAGTTCAGTTGTTTAAACACAGTATAACATCACACTAATCTCGTTGTTCAACACAGAGAATAAATAACTTCCAACTTCACAAAAACAAATACTTGCTGCCTTATCGATACGATGGATGATGTATAATGTTTTCAGCTTCCAGTCCCAATATTGTCAGCTAATAGGACCGGCAGTGGACAAGGAGGGTGAACCAGCTGCCGCAAGGCTGCAAAGCTTGCAGGACTGGTTGTGTTCCTGTGGGTGCTGCTCCCACAGAGGAGATTTTATAGACCTGAACAAGTGAAAGGTTGAGAAAATTATTCTTTTTTTTTTGTAGGCTCCCTTTCATAATGATGTCAGACACTTATAGTAACAATCTGAGCCAGTCAAATGCAAAAACAAGCACTTTAAATGGATGTATTTTGACTCAATTGCCCGCATGGATTACATTGTAACCAGGATCACTGCTGTTCGCTTCAGCGCTCTCCCTTAATGCTGAACTAAATTAAAGACTTGTTGTTACCATTAGTCATTTTGACACAAAAATAAGGTGTCCCGGTTGAAAAATACCCAAGTTACCCTTTAAGTGTATGCACGAGAAACACTTCTAGTGGGTCATAACAAGTGATGATTGAGTTTTCATAGTTGTTTTTTAGGAAAACCATACCTAGTATGCCTTTTAAGGCAATACGTTGACCTGTGGTTGTTATTGTGATGTACTTTTATATTGGCACATACAGAGAGGGTTCTGCAAGGTTTTCTCGGTCAGCAGCAGACAAGAATGTATGTACTCTTGCTGAGCTGTGGCAGTCACACTGTGGTCGTCACACTGTGGTCAAGAGTAGAGTAGAGTGTGATAACGAGGAAACGGCTAGTTAAAAGATAAGAGGTTTATCCTGTTCAAAGATGTCAGCTGCTCTGCCTTTTATTTTTTGGTCATGTATAAAGTCAGGACAAAAGGCTAATTTCTCCTTATTACTTTGCTCTGGAGAGGTGTTAAGAGAAACAAATAAGTGTCAATTAGAAAGATGTGTGATTGCCTTTTGCCTGAAGACAAAACAAAATGCAGCTACAGTGATGTGGTTAGATGAAGAGGTGCAGCCAACAGACACCTTGGGCAAAAGGTTTGTGCAAATGTCCTCCTGCAGCTTTAGTTTCTCTCTCCTAACTTGGTTCTTTGTCCAGTTTTGTTTTTGTCAGTCACTAATGTTGTTCCTGTCCTCTTCCTCCTCTGGCCAGATGGTGACAGAGGACCAGTTCTGTGGTCATCAGGGCAACGACATGTATGATGAGGAGAAGGTGAAGTACACAGTCTTCAAGGTCCTGAAGAGCTCTACACTGCAAGAGTTTGTCCAGAACCTCTCCCAGACCATGGTGAGATACTCGAGATCAAATCAAAGTATACCATGATGATTTGACACTTCTCTACTGTAAACTCCTTTCATACCCTTCTCTCAATTTCAGCTTGATTTAGTTTTTCTAGCTAAATCAAGCTAGCTACTTTCCACCTTTTTGTCATATTAAGTCCTTTTTGACATCTCCATTCATCTTAATATAAGTACAACTAAAATTAAACACTCCTGTTTATTTGCTGCAGGGTTTCCCACAGGACCAGATGAGGCTGTGGCCCATGCAGGCCCGGAGCAATGGAACCAAGCGACCCGCCATGCTCGACTACGAGGCTGACTGCAACAAGTCGGTAAGTGTTTGAAAAACCTGTTACTTTTGGTAGTGGTAGCCGAGACGCTACCACTGCATCATCAGATGTCCTTTGTAGAATTGAGTTTTTTAGAGCACAATCAAGATTATTGAGTCGCTGAAAACAGTGAATTACGTCACTTGCATAAAATATTATAATGTTGCAACTGTGCAGCAGTGTTTCAAAACAAGTTCAGGAATCTAAGCAGGATCTTTGATTGTGATTTTGATTGTGAGTCACTGAGCCACCCCTTAATATATATGTGTTTTGTTGAATGCGTACCCTAATCTGTCCTATGTTAGACTCTCATATATAAAGCGTTTGTGCACGTTTGCATTTCAGATGATCGACTTGAGCGACAACGAGAACCCCTGGACAATATTTCTGGAGACCGTGGATCCAGAGATGGCGGCCAGTGGGGCCACGTTACCCAAGTTTGACAAAGACCGTAAGTTCCACGCATCAACCCTCATCCAGCTAAGTGTCAGTTTTGTCAGTGTTAATGTTTTGTGGTACTTTTTTATTAATGGTATTTCATTGATCCCAGTGATTTCATCGGTTCTATAGGTACTAAAGTAATGTCAGTGTACAATGACCTCTACATCATCCCTCCCTTTAATTGTCAAGGTTTTATTTGTTTCAAACTGGCTTTGCATTCTTTTTGTGTTAAAGTCAGACACGCAGCTACTTGAATTATTAGAATGATCACTTGGCTGTTACTGTTAACACTGTAGGAAACATTCAGGAACATAATATCATAGGTGTAAGTTTAGGTTTTGTGTGGCTTAAGTAGCCCCCAAATTTAAAAACGTATTTTTGTGTGTTTAGTATGGATGCCGATATTTATCTGTTGTTTCGCATCAATTTTGTACTGGCTTAATGTTGTGTTGGTTATTTCCAACCTCCGCACACACATACTGAGTACTCCATGCAGCAACACTGACAGTGAGATGATGTTCAACTCTGCATCTTGGATCAAAAGAGATGCAACAAGGCAGAGATGCTTATCTTTGTAGATTTATTTGTTTCCCTGGCACAAAAGGGCGACTAATTAACAACAAAGAAACCTCGTTATGAGCCTAATTAAGGACTCACCCTTGATGCATGGTACATGCTCTGACCAGTGAGCTACCGGGGCGGCCCTAGTAGTTTAATTTTTAACACCAGTTGTGGTCATTTAAGCTATTTCTTTGACGTGCTGTCCACCATTTTAGCAACAGTGTCTTTGTTTGGATCAAGCTCTTTTCATCAGTCATTATTTCAGAGTTACTGTATGTTTTTTAACTTGTCTTTCTTTTCAGATGATGTCATGTTGTTCTTGAAGATGTATGACCCCAAAACCAGAAGCTTAAATTATTGTGGACATATCTACACACCTATATCCTGCAAAATAAGTAAGTTGTGGCAAAGTCTGTTTCAAGCTCAACACACTGTCGCACTTTAAATCAAAATGCTTTGAATTTAAACCTTAAATTGTGTTTCTTTTGCTCTTTTCTCCCTGTAACCAGGAGACCTTCTGCCAGTCATGTGTGAGAGAGCAGGGTTTCAGCAGGAAACTAGCCTTATCCTCTATGAGGTGATCTATTTATGTAGCACTCACTTGCTGGCACATTCCTCTGTCTTCTTCTCACTTGTTCTCACTCTTCACTCGCTGCTTCACACACTCACAATCTCATGCTCTTCTATCTGACACACAAGTGTCGCCTCACAAACTCTCCTCTGCACACTTTCACACACTGTCATTTGTAGCATCTCTCTTTTTCTCGCCCTTACCCTTCTGTAGCTTGGCATGTTTACATATCCTTAACCAAATACTCTAATACTCTACTTTTCCCATGATGCCGTGTGTGTTACAGGAAGTAAAGCCCAATCTAACAGAGCGGATACAGGACTATGATGTCTCTCTGGACAAGGCCCTGGATGAGCTCATGGACGGGGACATCATTGTCTTCCAGAAGTAAGACTGATTTTGTGTGTGAAATAAACTAGGGTTGCACAGTGTGCCCTAATTTATATGACAGTATATTTTAATCTTAACCGCTGCATGGGTTAAAATACTATGAGTTGCTTTAGTGCAAGTTCAGACCTTTACAGCAGGGCAAACTGTATAGCCAAAGCCTGTCCAACCACTGCATCTCACGTGGAATCAAAGATTGGACTGCTAGTAGTCCTATGGTGTAATGTTTATACGGGTGGGTCCTTAGTCCACACAAATTCAGTTTAGTTTAGTTTAGTTTAGTGCGACAGCCAACAAATGTAGCAATACGCCAATGAAGCAGTAAAGAAGAATGCAAGCCAGTGAACATGTTTCATGAGGAAGGAAATGCACTCAATGCGTTTGTTTGGTCTCAAGGATGTAAACATAACTTTAGCTTGTTTACAATAAAACTTCACAAGGCACTTTAAGCTGAACTTGTATGATTTGATTTTGCACAGTTCCCCATGTTAAATGTTGTCCAAATAAAACACCAGAGACAGGCAGAGGTGTTATATGTCTCTGGACTTTGGTATTCCTGATGAAATCCAGAGAAACTAGGAAGATCTTAGTTAGAAATATTTTGTTAGGTAGAAATATTTTGTCTATGCCACATCAATGCTTCCTCTGTTGCCTTATACTTTCTTCTTAATATCTCTCTCCTCCTTCATACCTTTTCCTACCTATGCTTCCATCTGCCCTTGTCACATCTGTCTGTACGGTCTGTTCTTCCCTCCCGTTGTCATTTCTGCCTTCCACCACCCCCATCAACCCGGCACATTCTGTATTAAATTAATCAATTGTCCAATCATGCAGGGACGACCCAGAGAACGACAGCAGTGAGCTGCCTACGGCCAAGGACTATTTCCGGGATCTCTACCACCGTGTGGACGTCATTTTCTGTGACAAGACCATCCACAATGACCCCGGCTTCGTGGTCACGCTTTCTAACCGTATGAACTATTTTCAGGTATGGGTTGTTCAGCTTCCTCAATAAATTGTTTGCTAAAAAGTTGTTCTGCTACTATTTTATATGAAACTTTAATATCAGCCATGAGTGGGGAGGACATTTTAGGATTTGGGCACTACTATTGTGCCTTAAAACACAATTGTGGTGCATCTTAAAAATATCTAAAGGTTTTAATTCTCTAAATTCTTATCTTCAGATGTTTTTTTTCCTTTTTCCTTGTAGTTTCTCTGTTGGCATTTCAGTTAGCAGACACAGATGAAACCTGACAGGCCTGTGGTGATCCCCACTTGTAATGTTTGTGTTGTCTGTTTTGTCAGGTGGCCAAGACAGTAGCGCAGAGGTTGAACACAGATCCCATGCTGCTGCAGTTCTTCAAGTCACAGGGGTAGGAGGCTTGTCTCATCCCCACACACACGTACACACGTACACACACACACACAGATAATGATGATCTCATATGATCTGGCATCTTGACAAAGACCTAAGAAGTGCATACTGTGTGAATGTAGTAACGGTGTGTTGTAAGATTAAAAAACACAGGACTGATCACCTTAATACACTTGTCTTTCTCGCTGTATGTCAAGCCAAGAGGAGTAAAATATTGGACTTATTGTCAGTTTTGAATATAAAACTGGTACACCAGAGGAGACTGGGGACATGGGGGAGAATTATAGTATTTGTTTGTACTTGCATCATTTGTAGTGGAGTAACTATTCCTACTTAAAAAGCATAAAAATGTCCCTTGCAGTGTTCTGCTGGTTGGTATTTAGTATGTAGTAAAAATAGCATACTGGAACATTACCCGATTTTCATTCCTTTTCAAATAATTATTCCAATTTTGTAGTCCTGCTTGACATATAGAAAGAAATACGTAGCATCTATTTTTGTACTGTGTTCTCATTCTCACAGCTTGTGTTGTTTGCCTTTGATTTGATTACTTGCAGTTGTCAGTAGAAATGTTGCGTAACCTGTCCCCCCCCACCTTTCTTTGTTGTTTTCCTCTAACTCCTCCCACTCTGCCTCCCTCCCCTCTCCCTCTCCATTCCTCTTCCGTTCTGCCTCTGCATCTCTCTGAATTTTCTCGTCTCCCCCTTCTGTTCACCCCCCACTCTGTTCTCTGCTCCTTCACTTCTTTTTTCCCCACCCGGTGTTTCTCCTCCTGTCATCTTTCTTTCCTCCCCTTCGTCGTCCTCCCCCCCTGCCTGGTGGTGTGGTGGCCAGGTACAGGGACGGTCCAGGGAATCCTCTCAGACACAACTATGAGGGAACGCTGCGGGACCTGCTGCAATTCTTCAAACCTCGGCAGCCAAAGAAACTGTACTACCAGCAGGTAGGAAAGGCTTCCCAACTCTGTGTTTAGTTAGTAAAACATTTGATGGTTCCATGTTTTCAAATGATTCCCACCGCCATAGGCTGAAGGATTAATTGGTTAACTGTGAAAATAATTGGCAGATTAATCAATAATGGAAATAATGGTTGCAGCCCTACTTTTCCACCTTTTTGTTACTATTTCCTCTGAAATGGTTTTGGATCCAGAATGAGATTCTGATTGACACTGTATCATTTTTCTTAATTATCAGTGATGCTTTCTGCCTGCCTGTTCAGCACACACAGTTTCATTATACAGTAAACCATACTCGAAATGGAGAAATCAGGGAGGGAGTCTTCTGTCAGGCCAGCTTCTCATTATGGCTTAGTTTGTAGTTGCTGTGGATGGTCCTAACTGAGGTAACAAAGTTAAAACTTTCTTAGCCAGCTGTCAGCTAAGGTAGACGTCTTCACGTCAGAAAATGACAAACTTCCAGGATAGATAAGCCATGCGTTCATCATCTTCTGTCACTATATTATTATTTTCTAAATAAAACAGCTGGTACCTCCAGCCCCTCTGGCAGTTTGAAGAACTTATTTATAGCTGTACAGATAAGAGTGAAGTGAATTGTGCAAATTTAAAATGCTGTAATGTGTGCACCCAGTTCCACCACACATTTAGATTTAATTGAACCGATGGGATCTGAATTATGGAAACTCATTTGATGTGACCATTCACCATAGGCTGTTGCCAGGCACCCATTAACAGTTAACAGATCCCTGAATGCAGTACAAAGCTCAACAAAACTTTCTCATTCTTTCTCTCTCTCGATGTATCCACAGTTAAAGATGAAGATAACAGACTTCGAGAACAGGAGGAGTTTTAAATCCATATGGCTCAACAGCCAGTTCAGAGAGGAGGTAACACACACACACACACACTCACACACTCACTCACTCACTCACTCACTCTCTCTCTCTCTCTCTCTCTCTCTCTCTCTCTCCACACACACACACAACACACACACACACACACACACACACACACACACACACACACACACACACGTGCATCCCCCCTGAGGAAGAAGGAATATTTCACTGAACATAAGTCAGATATTTGTTGTGATTCCAGCACATAAACTGTGCATATGTGTGTTTTTTGCAGGAGATCACCCTCTATCCTGACAAGCATGGCTGTGTGCGGGACCTTTTGGAAGAATGTAAAAAGGCAGTGGAGCTCTCTGAGAAAGGCTCTGAGAAGCTCAGGTATCCAACCTGCGTGTGCGTGTGCGTGTGCGTGTGTGTGTGTGTGTGTGTGTGTGTGTGTGTGTGTGTGTGTGTGTGTGTGTGTGTGTGAGAGAGAGAGAGGGAGAGTCACTGTTTCAGTGTATTTGACAGCTACAGCATCCTTTAGCTGCAGGCATCCTTCCCTGTGGAAATTTGGCATATGATGGTGAACATTATAAAAGGGAATATCTAAAAATAAAAAAACTGGTTGTTTACCCCGATAGAAAACAGTCCCAACACTATCACTCTGTTTCAGTAATAGTTCAGCGAACTGTTGTTTCAAAACCTACCAAAGAACTTAAATGGCAGTTAATTGAACTGCTGAGATGAGCTGCAGCCACAGCCTAACCTTGTCAATGAAATATCAGTTCTTTTTATACATCTCTAATCACAGCTGTAGCAATATCATACATATATGTATACAACTGAGAATAGAACAACACATTGCCAGCCGATTGAGTAAAGCTATTTCTGAAGTGTATCTTCAATCAGGACCAGTTCAAAATGCAGTCTGGTCAGTTTCAGCCTGTAAAGTTGACTAGAGTCCTTTTCACCATGTGGAAAATATGACTCAAGCTTAACAGTAGAGTGACGATTATTAAAATATATATATTTGCCACGGTACCAACAAAGCTATTTCCAGAACATTTACCAAGAGTACTTTAAATTATTGCCGGGCAATACCAACCATTTACCTCCTCCTTGCCCTCCGATTTCAGCAGCAACCACAGCCTGCACAGATCTGTCTTTTGCAACTCTTCTCATTTGATGTGATTTTATGCTCTGATTCTGAATTCAGTTTTTCTTTGAAGAGCCACTGTAGAGTGTTAATCCGTTCTTCCTCTGTGTGTTTCTCTTATCCTCTCTTTCTCCCCCTGCAGGCTGTTAGAGATAGTAAGCTATAAAATCATTGGGGTTCACCAGGAGGACGAGCTGCTAGAATGTTTATCTCCTGCTGCCAGCCGCACCTTCAGAATAGAGGTATGTGCGTATGTGTGGGGTTTCCTGTGTTTTTGAAGTTTATATTTAGTTATTTTTCCTCCTCTAGTCAGTCTTAACAGGCCATCAGTGTGACCGGTATAGTTAGTGTCAGGGCCCTTGAAGTTTGTCTACACAGCAGACACTTTTGCAGCTGTTACTTGCAGGGTTTTACTACTTCAAAATAATAGTCAGCCGTTAACTGACCTCACTAAATCTCTTCTTCCTCACTTTTTTTCCTAATTTCTTCCCTCATTCAGGAGATTCCTTTGGACCAGGTGGATTTGGACAAGGACAGTGAAATGCTGATCCCAGTCGCTCACTTCCACAAGGAAGTCTTCGGCACCTTTGGGATCCCCTTCTTGCTCAAGATCAGACAGGTGTGTTTGTTTGTTCGTATGAAAGAGTTTCTTGTCTACTTAACATAACATATTGCTCAGTTACCCAACTTCATGCTCTGTGTTTGTCTGGTTGTTTCCTTCCTTGATTCCCACCCCTAACTGTCCACAGGGCGAGTCATTTCGGGAGGTGATGAGGAGGATCCAGACCATGCTGGACATTCAGGAGAAAGAATTTGAGAAGGTACAACACCACACTTTGGTTGCAGAAACAGATATTTTGAGTATTAACTGCATTTAAAATGTTTTATGGTGAATATTATTTATTTAATGTCTGTCTTTGTTTATATTGACGTATTTTTCATTAAATGTTAGCGTAGCAGTTTTAGGCATAGTAAATATGAAGTGTGGCAGAACTCAGTCTGGATATTTATTTAGTCTGCTACAGGTTAACGGTGGTAGGCTGTCGAATAATGTGCTTTTCGTGTTTGTTCACAGTTCAAGTTTGCGATTGTGATGATGGGGCGGCATCAGTACATCACTGAGGACGAGTATGAGGTCAACCTGAAGGACTTTGAACCACAGCCAGGTATTTACTGCTTCTGCTCCCACTGAGTGCGACTTACACAACAACTGCTGCTGTGACTGTTACTGTAATAATGGGAGCAGCTTTATATGTGCAACAGGCTATAAACAAAAGCATCACAATGACTGTCCTGGAAGATCAATTATTTATGTAATGCCACTGCGTTGGTTAACTTTTTATACACAATTGTACTTTCAAGCTCGAGACAGAGGAAAGATTAATTGCTGCCATTATAACCTCCTTGTGTTTTAATCATGTCTCACGCCCACGCTAACACGGTCTTAACATGGCCTGAAGAAGTTATAGTTGACCAAAGCATTAATACATATTGTTCTAGTGTGCCAGAAACATTTTATTTCATGTTTATATACTTAAATACTAAATAGAGAGACTTGTTACTGAATACACATCTCAATAAAATACGTTGTAATACACAAAGTTATCCACCAGGAATGTTATTTGATCGTGCACTGCATGATGACATTGCGGTCCTGCAAAAGCTGAGCCCGGTTCAGGCCGTTCTTTGCCAGAGCCTGCTGTTTGTGGCGTCCCCACTGCGCCGACGGACTGGCTGTTTGTCCTGTCGATGCGTTTTCACTAATGGGTTTACACTCCCTGTGGCAGATAAACACTTTGTCTCTCTCATCTCGTTCCAGGTAACATGTCCCACCCGCGCCCCTGGCTAGGGTTGGATCATTTCAACAAAGCTCCAAAGAGAGGTCGCTACACCTACCTGGAGAAAGCAATCAAGATCCACAACTAAAGCAGCCCGCCCTTCCTCTTTGTCCTCCTCATCCTTCTCCTCCTTCTCCTCCTCCTCCTTTTCCTCCTCCTGCTCCTCCTCCTGCTCCTGCTCCGCCTTCCTCCCTACCTACTTTAACACACCATAACCACAGACTGTAACCAACCGTGTGTGTGTGTTTGTGTGTGAGAGACTGTGTGGGCGTGTGTGTGCGTGCGTACTCGTGTGTGTGTTCATCACTTTTAACACCCCGCCTGGACACCTCTACAGCTCTACACCGGCACTATGTCTTCAGCGATACGGATCTTGCTGCAGCTGACGGATTATCCTTCAACCACAAAATAAACTGCACCAACCACCTCCTGGCTGTTGATTTTGTTTATTTTGTTTTTGTTTTATTTTTTAATTGTCTCCCTCTATATTTGAGGCTGTTAGGTTGTTGTTTTTTTTTTTTTTTTTTTTTTCTGGCTTCTCTACCTGTTGACTGCCTGTGTTTTTGTTTTTTTGCCTGTCTGGAAGTGGGAGAAATGAAGTTGGATTTTAATATAAAAATAAGCAGAGAGGGGAGAGGAAGGTGGACACACACACACATGAATTTCTAGACTTAGGTTTTTTGTTTTTTTTCCTTTTCCCACCCCACTCACCCGCTTTTTTTGTTCCTTCAGATTTTTTGGGGGGGGTTGTTTTTAAATAAAGAGTTGTTTGAAGAGGCATAATGCTGCTGTGTGTAAAGTTTGATGGAGGGATGTTTGAGGACTAACTGACAGAAAAGGGGGGGGCATGGTCATTTTTTTTTGCTAAAAACAGCTGCGATCTGGCGTCCATCCCGAGACTCACTAGTTGCCCTGATGTGGTTCTTTATATTTTCTGCTCCCATCCTTTAGTGCAACACAACAAGTATTTCCAAGTTTACACACATTTTTTTTTCTCACTTAGTTTGGTTGGAGGAAAAATTAATAAAACACTTTTTTTTTGTCTCTTTCTGCAGATCTTGTATAATAAATAAAAATCCACAGCATCTGTTTAAAAATAAATGGGGAAAAAAATAAGGAGGAAATTTGTCTGTATTTCATCTTGCACGTTGGCACTTAATGTCAGAGGTTTCTCAGGACTGGCAAATGTACATTTTGGTTGTGGTTTTGAGTTGCTCAGTGACTTTAAAGGAACACACACGCACGGACATTACCCCCCCCCTTGACGTTCTCTTCCATTTTTGTTTTTCAGGGGGTTTTAATGTCCTTCTCAGTCATTCCTCCTTGAACGCAAACACACAAGCTTCGTCATCTTCTTTCTCGTTTGAAACTGTCGCCTCCAGGTGATTGGGAGCAGTAACTGCGCTATGCTTGGTAGGGAGCTGCAGAAAACTTCGAACCCACAGGTTTGAGGACTGTGTAGAGACAAAACCAGCATTGTAAGAAACACTTTAAGCCCTATGAATTAATTATTTTTATTTTATTTTTTGTTTCCTTTAAAGCACAGATGGAATGCTCCCCTAATAGTGCATAGCTGGCTCTGTAAAGACAACATTTAAGAATTGTATATTTAAAAATATGAACGTGTAAAATTTAAGAGAAACACGCCTTTGTTGTTGGGTACAGAAGGAGCCAGGTGTTCATATTTCTTGTGTGTAGGGTTTTCTCTTTTTCTTTGCGTTCCTGATGTACCATTGACGATTTTTTTCTGTTACATTTGGATTTTTTTTCCTTCTCAAAACTAACTGCATTGGTTTTGTCTTGTTAAAAAGTGCAGTACAAAGATAACCTGCAGAATCACACCTTAATTTGATCTTTTCCAGTTTAAAATCCTCAGTGTAGCAGCAGTGTACGACAACTATTCCTGTATATTGCCTTTTTGCTGGAAAATGTATGTTGAATAAAATTTTCTATAAAAACAAAAACACTGCTGCTTGTCCATACCAGTCGACCCAAAACGCTGTTCGAAGAAGAGTGAAACATTTTGGGAAACACATTTTTATTTTATTTTTTTGGAGAAACGGATGAGAAGATGGATGCCGCTCCGTTCGTTAGCTTAGCTTAGCATAAAGACAACCGGGGTGAAACGGCTAGCCTAGCTCAGTCTGAAGGTTCAAAAACCGGCCTGCCATTACTTCTAAAGTTCACAAATGAACATGCTAAATCTTGTTCATCTAACTGTACAAAAGTAAAGTGTAAAAACAATTGACCGATGAGGAGTTATATGACAGACTATTTTTTTTGGCTGGAAGCAGTAACTTCCTGGAGGCTGCTGGTTGCCTGGCAACCACTCAGAGCCAAGAAATACTTTCTTTTTCTCTCATTTCCAGTTTGCAAACCTAAGCTAAGCTAATGGGCTACTGGATGTAGCCATACAGTCAAGGCGTGTTGATCGGTATGAATCTTCTTTTAACTCTTTGCAAGAAAGTGACTCAGCAGTTTTCCCAAAATGTCAAACTATTTCATCAAGACTTAAAATTTTGACTTTGACCAAGATGTTACAACGTGAATGGCTGAGAATCTTCAGACCTCTAAAACTCGCCTACGTGCAGTAATAATGTTTTCATAAACTTGCTTCAGGATGGAAGGCATTTTCAGAAAGGAGATTTTCCCGGTGAGGTCAGAGGTCACGCTGGAGCTGACTGATGTCTCGCTGACTGATAACTTGGCTCAAGAGAGTCAAGATTACATGTGATTCAATTCCAACAAGAAAAAGAGGAAACAGCCTTTGTTCTTGGGCACAGCGGTGCTTTGAGCTAAACACTAACATCCACCCGCTGTTGGCTCTCTGCACAGATAACATTCAGTAAAATGCAACATACATATTAATGCAGCAGTGATATTAATCTGAAAATGTCATATTGCCTATAATAGTAAAACATTAATACTTTAACTCATTCTTTAAATACATTTTGCTGATAATTCTTTATAACAACGCTTTACAGTGCTTTGTTGAAACACCAACTTCACCTGACTGGCCTTGACCTCTGACCTCTCTAGAGGAGGGCACAAATAAAGACAAAAAACACAGCAAAGTGCCATATGTCGTCTAGATAGTCTACTTTTATTAGAGAAATAATGTTATAAAATACTTAATAATAGTACATAAGAGTCCAAGCATTCTCAGTTTCATTCAGGGGACATGAGGAGGAATCACGTCCCTCACAACAACATTTGGCCGGCTCCCTTTTTTACGTTGTTATTGTATTATGAAGCAGGAAGATTTTTAATTAAACAAGCTAGAACAGAAAAAACAAACACAAATATATTGTCTAATTTCTTTATACCTGTAGATGTTTAAATATTCAAACAATTTATTTCAAGCGTACTGACCAGTGGCTGCCAATGAAGACGTCACGTCATAGTGTAGCATTGCTTTAATTTTGCATTGTTCAATTCATTCAGATGACACATCTTTGTTTGAAGATTCAAATGATCTAAACAAAAATTCTAAATTACATTTACAGCCGACTGCTGTTGTACATTACATACGTTTTTCTTTCAACTTCATGCTTGCTCAGATTTCCCTTCATCCCTTCATATAAGAATTATAATGGCTGACAACATATTAATATAACACAAAGAAGCCACATTGGTCTTACTTTATTTTGGAGTGTTGCAAAACAACACAGACACAAATTTATTGTACAATAACTGCAGACGAGCAAATATAACAGGGTTGTTAGCTCAATCTTCTGGTTTAATAAAATATTGTGTTGGTTTGTTTCACGGTGATGTTGTGACATTCCCTTAAAATGGACAGCTTTTATGTTTTAAATTTAAAAATGAACAATCCCATGAAACATTAAGTATTTGATAAGGTTTATGTACAAGCCTTCATTTTAGCAACATAACGTATGCGGAAATTTCTAAGTATGATAATAGAGAAAGCTTTCTTGCTGGAATGGGACAAAAAATAAAATGGCTCCCAAAAGTGCATGGGGTGTGCTTGATTCAACTTGCCAGAGCTTTAAAAGTGAGCACATGATATTTAACCTCTAACAACACAATCACTCCAAGTCTGTTTTGCTAATAATATGATTGATTTGTTTGATTCTGCCATGGCTAATGCAATGGCTCATCCATAGAAATAAGCTCCATCCCACAATATAAACAACAGTAACAGAATGTTGCTGCACATCTCTATGGGCCCATGTCTGCCCTCATGTTCGTCATTTACAGCATTTCTTCTTCTCAACGTGCAGCACTCTGTTGCAGCGGGGGCATGTGTGGTACGCATCCTTGAAGTTTTTCATGAAGAATGGAATCAGGCAGCAACACAGGATCAACCTGCAACACACACACACACACACACACACACACACACACACACACACACACACACACACAGAGAGAGAGAGAGAGAGAGAGAGAGAGAGTTAGTGTCACACAGCTGTACACCAGAACTAGCTTTGTTTGGGCCATTTGGTTTTGATCATTTATTGGTTTTTTTTACTGACTGTGCAAAAAGTATTGGGATGTGTAGGGGGCTGAATCTTGTGTTTCATTTCATAAAAAACTAACAACCTTCCCAGTGTTATTTATATTTTCTGTGGACTCTCTTTTTGACCCTTCTCTTGAATATATACGTTTTATTATTACAGGTTATTACAGCCACTGAATGAGTGAATTGGGCCCAAGTGGCAGCTTTTTGGATGGCAATTAGTAAAAGTAAATATGAATTAGATTAGATGATGTTAACAAAGGCTTGGTATAAAAAAAAAGAAGAAAAAAGACTATAAGACCTATCTGTTTCGACAATCTCATTTTGTTGTGTAAAATGTAGCCTTCATGCAGAGACAGGATTGTTGTCCTGCATATGGCTTAACTGCCCTTTTTGCATGAGATTTATATTTACATTTTTAATAGACCTTAAAATATTCATACAGTCCCTTAGCAATAAACAGTATGGGTTAATTGAATTAAAGCAAATTGCATTTCTACTGGCATCTCATCGTTTGCAAGCGCCATTGTGATGCTACCAGGGCAGAGAAGATAAACCAGCTTCTTTACATACATGGTGAGTGGAGATATGCTCCTGTTAAACTTTGTGGGAGGAGGAGGACTCTGCGAGCTGATGGGGTTTGTTGAACCGGAGTACAAGCTACCATCACGGTGAACAACCACTACAAGACTGAGGATGATGTATGAGGATAATGTGGTGGGATTGAGGGCTGATCTGCTATGTGCCGAACTAAATCCACTGTTCAGCTACAGCCTGGGGACCAAGATGGCTGCACATGAAAAAGTAAACCAGCCACTGTTTGAGGATGTGGTTTTTCTTCATGTCAGCTAATCTCTACAGTCTGTACAGCACAGAAAGGAGGATATAAGGAGGATAACCATACCCCAACAACATTTTTGCTTGGGTTTTTATTTATGACCCTTTTCTTATTAGTTAGTTTTGTTTTGCGAGTACTCGAGTACTTCACAATAATTCAATGCAAGTACTCGAATACGAAAAAAATGCCCATTCCAAGTATCTACACTCTTACTGAACTATGTATGTAAGATATGTGTATTTTCACTGTTTAGACAACATGGCCATCTTGCACACTTTTGAACTTTTGGTGAGGTTAGGGACACATTCACATTACTCTGAATGTGTACACTGTTGTGTGAGGTATGTAAGGGCCCAACAGAAGATTTCGGCCCTGGATCCCTCAAGCAGTTCAAAGTGGCCACACTCACCCGCAGCAGATAAAGAGTAAGCACATCAGCCAGGCGTACGTCCCTGCTTTGTAGGTGACGTTGGTCATGACCTGCTGCTGACAGGAAGCGCAGGTCGTCATGCCGGGATTACTCCCCAGTGCCGTGTCGTAGCTCACAAACTTCCTTTTGCCATCTCCAGACTCAAGACCTGAACCGAGGTTGCCTCCTCCACCTCCTCCGCTGGTGTACACTGATGGAAGGAGCGAGGAGGAAATAGGAAAGGTAATTTACTAGGTATAAGAATACATTCTAGCTAAGGTTGTTGACTTGTTTCCAGGAAGTTTAACATCAGATGAGAGTTTACCTGGTGTGAATGAGGTGGCACTTTGCTGTAAACTGGGAGGGGTGAATGGGCTGTGGAGGTGGTAAACCTTTACTCCATCCCCCTGACCACCTTCTACTGGACCAGAGAAAGTACAAAGAAAAAGAAACAGAGGAGAATGTAAGGAAAGAAGATGGAGGTAATGAGTCATTCTGTTGATGATGATGATGATGATGATGATGATGACTGATGATAATGTGTGTGGGCACGGTGTGTTTGGTTTACCTGGTATGACGTAGGGAGGGGGCGTTTTTCCATCTGCACTCATTGTGCTGTAGAGAGAGAGCAGGATTGTTTCAAGGGGTACTCCTCTTAATTAGCAGTAAAGACAAAATACACTATGAAACCTAATAAGCATCTGTCTGCCTTTGAGACGATTCTGCTGCTCCTTTCTGCCACCAGATGGAGCCAAATCCTGACTGATGTAGCTAAATACTCTGTCAGGCTCTGATGGAAATGTCTGTCATCTCTTACTGATACATATGTAGCCCAAACAGATGAGTTAGTTGTCCCTGCGGGGTATATACACTGCATTGTGTGGATGTTTCTTGTCAGTAGCCCTTGAGGCAAACGCCTGTGGAGGACTCTGGCAGGTCTTGGGTTTGATGGCTGACATATTTCAGGTTCAAGGTTTTCTTTATAACCCTCTCTGCCTGTTCGCACTGAAAAACTAACAAGTGTACTAAGAGGACTCAGGTTTGTTTTTGTTGGTAATTTTCTGATGATTTATCAGTAAAGTACATTGTCATTGTAATAACTGAGTCATCCTCATTTACCATCAAAAAAGAGACCTCTTTTTGCATTGCATCTACAACGTTCTTTAAAGGACATGAAAAAACTAAACATAATTCAATTAAACAGAACAGTGGAAAGAAAACAGATGCCAGTTTTGCTGCCACGGCGGACCCTGCCACCAACAATGAAATCTACTATATAGAGATTTATATACATTGAATGGCTTATGGATTATAACTTGAGACTGACTTATTTTTCATAATTAAACCAAAGATTCATTAAAAATTTTACTTTTTGGTCAACAAAATAATCAGTTCCGCAGATCAACACAATATATAAATATCTATTTAGTATTCTATAATAAAACCTCTCTGTAAGCTTCTGGCTTCCTCTGAAGAAGCTCTTATACCAAACATGCATAAATAAAATCGCTTGAAGAAAGTAAAAAATTACAATTAAAACTGACACAGAGCTACATGAACATGCTACAGATAAGTCCTTTGCATGTCAAAAATCAATGTGGTCATCTCTACATGCTGGCATGCTTAAAATGCTTTTTGAGGCCAGACTGACGAAGTTAAAGAGGAATGTGAGCCATGAAGATAAGATAGATTGTCCACAAAATGCAGCAAAAACCAGAGGACGTGCTGTGAGGAAGAGGAGTCAAGGTAAACATGAACTAAGTTTGATTAAAGGTCAGATTAAGGCTTGAATGTCTGTGATGTCAGCCAGAGGATCTACAGTAATTACTGTTTATACAGCTCAGCACTGAGGGGTGCGACAGTGTGGCCTCATTAAAACATAATTAGTACTTTTGTCATGTGAGACCAATCTGACCCACAAATGACTGAACACTGTCTCGTTATAACTTGATAATTAGTCAACTATATGGGTCACAATAAAGTGTGGAACTAATTTTCTGCCCCTTTATTTTATTATTATTGTAGTTTGAGTTCGCTGGCACTTAATACTTGATTTTTCATTATGGAAACATGCATTGCATATAGTTCATGACAACTTAACTGCTCACATATGAACCGATCTGTAAAGTCACACTTTAACATGGACTAAGACATGACAGGGCATGTTTTGTTTATTGGTGCTCTGCTGCACTCTTGCTGTTGTCTGCCTAGTTTTTATGCCCACTGAAAAACAAAGTCATGTGACCAGTTTTATGTAATGATCTCGTACAGGAAAAAGATTAATTCTTTTGTTTCCGTATTCTCGTTGTGTCTCTCTTTACATAAACAAACACAAAAACAAAGCATGACTAAGCATTCTCTGTCTCTCTGTCTAGCTCTCTCTTTCTCTCTCTCACACACCACACACACACACACACACACACACACACACACACACACACACACACATATATATATATACATCCTGCCTGTGTTCTGTACATCTCAGTTTCTATATCCATTACACACAAAAACACATGCATCCAGCCATTCACTACATGCACTGAGGTGTAGCCATAGTTCACTTGTCATCACAGTTGGGACTCAGAGGAGATGACAGATTGCTTTGTCATTGTCTCTCTCTCTCTCTCTCTCTCTCTCTCTCTCTCATACACACACACACTGACAGGGCCCGCATACACCCATATGTCGGTGCAGGAATGCTACTGAACAGCGTGCTTCTCCCTCTCTGTGTGTGACAGACTAAGGGTGTGTCACTGCAGGCTAAGCTGCTGCACAAATCTTAAATCTTGTTGAATGAGCTCATCTGAAGCAAAAAAAACCCCAAAAAACCTTACATCATGTTGCTTGAATGACAGTTGTCATTTAAAAAAAAGTCACACGTGTGTTTCGATAAAGAGCTACAGCAGAAGCCGACTTCCAGGGTAGGAGCGCTAATGTAGAATGACTGGATGAGTTGCTCTTTCTCTGATTGGCTCAGTTCCCCTGTGCTTTAAGCAACCTGTGCAACATTAATTGGAAAGTTTGGGGCGTGTTGGGTTCAGGTTAGTCAAGTAAGGTTCTGTAAAAGTTGTTTCCATCAGCCTCAAAGCCTTGTTGTTCTTCGTTTGACATGTTTTCTTTAACCTGAGTGAGCGATAGAAGCACTGAGAGAAGCACTGCAAATTGGCTGTGGCAATCAGGGTGCGTTCAAGATTCCTATGAATGATTTTTTTAATACATTCATTATATATTCAAGTGTTGAAAATCCAATCACGGCATTGTTTTTTATCACCATGACAAGGATTAAATTAAACAAACAGGTGGACAGGAAACAGATAAATACAAAGACAAACAACAAACAACTGATCAAAACTACAATAATTAGCCTAATAGTTACGATGCTGGTGTTTCTGTCATCAGATGGGACATAAGGCTGCTGATGGAAGCAGCGACTGGGTGCGGCTTCTGAAAAATTCATCTGCCACATTGTAGAAATGCTTTAAAATCACAAAGGGGAAAAGTTAGAGGCTGCTGATCAAACAATACGCTCTCTGTGAGAGAAGGCCGAGGCACATGACCTCAGCTCAGACGCAGCTTGCTTGCCCTGAAGGATTCATCACTGAGGCAGGTGCTTGGGAGTGGATTAATGGAGGAAAAATGGGTGCGACTGATCGAGAAAAACTGGCCCAGTCAATGAGCAACTCATAAACTATCTTATTGACAAACTAATAAAACCCCCCTAAGCAGGTGGATGAGTTAGACATATAAAACCAGACTTTTAGGCGATTACCTTACAGACTGATCTGTTGAGTTCAGTGAAACTCGCTCTTTCTGATGCTAAGCAGGCTGACTTTCCACTTAGATAAGTTGACACCCTGAGAGAGATCTGAGACATAGGTGTGGCCTTACTGTATGAGACATCTGTGCTGGTCAAACCTGACTCTGTGTGTGTGTGAGGGAGGGAGAGAGAGAGAGAGAGAGAGAGAGAGAGAGAGAGGGGGGAATGCTGACCGTCTACCTTCATGGTGCGTTTAAATGATCAGCTAACACAGGGTGTCATTTAAAATTGAAATTACCCAATCAATCACTTATCACTGCAGAGAAAAACATGGAGTTAATCCAACCATAAATCCTGTCTCCGATTTCCAGTCTGACCTCTGATCTGACCCCCATTCAGCCAAAACAGACCAAACTCCCCCCAAAAAACAAAGGTCGGGCCTACACTACTGAGCAGTATATACAGCCGACATGAGCCAAACATCCTGAAAATTACAAAACTTATCATTTGAATACATTTGCTGCATCCTATAAACTAATTCACAACAATATATTATATTATATGATAATAAAACTGTAAAATAAATAATTTTAAGTTATTCAATGAAGTTAGTGTTGTTCTTTTTAGTTGTGTTGTTCTTATAGCTAAATCTCTTTATAACTGTATTTAAAGATACATAGCCAACCATTTTCATGACAAAAAAATAAACCATTTTCCCCTTTTCAGTCAGATCTCAAACTGTGTTTTTTTGCCCTGTATAATTTTGGAGAATCTTTTCTTAATTCTGTGTACCGCATTGTTTTAGGTTCCTGAAATTGAGCATTTGCAACTGTTACAACTTCTCTATTTATGTACTATATGTTCTATTTTCACATGAAACCCATCAACACTTTCATCAGCACTTTAAGACATGATTGTGCTTCAGCACCAGTTTTAGACAAATACAGTAATGTGTCATTAGTTTTATGTACAACGTTACAACCGGTCAGAAAACTAAACCTTTTTCTCTTAATCTTGTGAAACTTAAAGATGCAGTCTTGACCGGGACCCCCTTGGAAAGGAGATTTTGAATATCAGTGGGAATATTCCTGGTAGAATAAAGGTCAAAATAAAATAGCATTAAACAATCTAACAAGTACTTTAATGGAAGACACATTTTATCTATAGTGTTTCTCGTTGTCACATCTACTGTTTCTACTCCCACTATTCCATGACTATTATGACAACTTCTCTTACTACTACAGTTAATACTGCTGTTGTGGCCATCCAGACCCAAGCTGCAAATAAGTTAACATATGCCAAAGTAAACCATAGAAACTTAGAAGTTGCAACAGAATCTACAGAATATCACAACATTAGATTGGTGTGTTTTGGCCCAGACTGAAAATCAGAGATATCTAAAATCCGTTTTGACATGAAATGTTGTTTGATTCTTAGGCAGACCATCTCTCTTTAAAAATCTTCATAGTTCAGCTCCTCAACTGAACTGTTCACTTTGAGAGTCTAAGCCACTGAACAAGAGCTGGACTATTTTCACAGCTGCATACACCCTGGACTACACCCATGGCCTGTAAGTATTGTTCAAAACCTTAAATAACAAGCTCACAAAAAACAGACACACCAAGAAGCAAAGGAGGAAGAAAATTACAACAAAAGTGATCAGGAATAAACAATATTAATTAACAAAATTAAGATTACTGTCTGAAATGTTCTTAGATAGCATTTTTTTCTTCTTTTATAATTATCAATCCTTTCCCACTCAAGCTTAATGTACTGTTCAGTTTTACTTCTCAGTTTATCTTATTTGAACAGAATAACTTAACAATGAACAACAATTTTCATATGAAATAGTTCAACCATCTCAGCCATCTTCTGGCCACAAATGTCAAACCTCACAGACATAAATATGAACTCCCTTTACGTCTTTCAGCTTTAGATCCCGTCTTACAAACTTCAGAAGCACAAAATCTGAATCTTTGCAATCAAATCCTAACATTCATGTCTGACAGTCTTACCTTGGCGGGGTTTCGCTGTCGATATGAAGAGGTGTGTGTGTGCTGCTGCTGATGTAGAGTCCAGATTGCGAGGTGTGAGAGAGGTCCACCTGTCTCACCTGTACCTGTACAAGCCTCTCCCTGGACACGCCCACAGACCTGCCCTCGTCAACAAAGACATGAATATGCAGTGGGAATGAGTCACTCAGCAGTTAAGGTGTAACTTTCAAGGGCTCTTCTTTTAAACTTGTTCTTTGTTTCTAGGAGATTATTGAGGGAGTGTGTGTGTGTGTGTGTGTGTGTGTGTGTGTGTGTGTGTGTGTGTGTGTGTGTTAATCTGTTAAGTGGGAATAACCAGTTTCCCTCCTTCTGCTTTGTTCCTATACAGCAGATTCTTCAGCTTAACACAGATTAGAGGCGACCATAGTTTTTGTCCTGGAATGTGACTTGAAGGCCATAAATAAAGTTTGAGTGACATAAGTTTACACATGTTCATCCGCATTCACTTAGAATTTGACCAATTATATGATGTAAAATGATATGTAGTTTTCATAACTGTAAGAAAGGCATCTATATTCCTGTAGTATATGAAAATCCCAGGTTAAACCGCACACTGAACTGACTGCTTTCTTGCAGAGATTTAGATGAGAAGTTTGCCACCACTCACATTTCTGTCTGTTAAATACAAGGCAACAGCCAGCTGCTGGTTAGCTTAGCTTAGCATGAAGATTGTAAACAGATGGAAAAGCTGGTCTGGCTTTGTCCAAATGTAACAAAATCCTCCTATACCAGTTCCTCCAAAGCTCACTGATTAGTAAGTTTCATCTGGACAAAAAAAAAATTTTAAACAACGAGATTCGAGGAAGTTACTGGTCCCGTCCAAGAAATAATGAAGTATATAATATTGGTGTGCTTTAGAGGTTTCCCCGTTTCCAGTCTTTGTGCTAAGCTATGCTATCAGCTACTAGCTGTACCCTTGTACTAGACAGAGAGGGTAGAGAGAGTGGTACCAATCTTCTAATCTAACCCCCCCGTCAAAAATCAACAAAGTGGAAGTCAAACTACTCCTTAAAGGACCAGTGTGTACTGGCATCAAGAAGTTGCAGATTGCAACCGACTGAATACTGCTTTCCTTCCAAGGGTGTACGAGAAACTACAGTGACAACAAAACGTGAAAAGCCCTATCTAGAGGGGAGCGTGCCTATGTTCCCACAGCCCTATGTTCCCACAGCCCTATGTTCCCACAGCCCTATGTATCCACAGCCCTATGTTCCTACAGCCCTATGTTCCCACATTTCCTTTTTCATAAATTTGTATCAGATTTTATCCCCCTTTCTCCCACTAACCCTACCCCTAACCACATAGGGCTGTGGGAACATAGGGCCTAATTTTAAGAAAAATCTTAGAAATGTGGGAACATAGAGCTGACCCCATTTAGAGCCAATGTCTGGTTTGTCCCTTCTGGGCTACTGTAGAAACATGGCGGTTTCAACATGGCAGACTCTGTAGGTAAAATCAGCTCATTCTAAGTTAACAAAAACACAATGATCCTGATTATACACTAATAAAAACACATGAATATTATATTCCATTTCTTCGAATGAATCCTCCTAATTGTTACACAAGATTTGATTTTTGCTCTTTTTAAATGATTGTTTAATATGGTGTCGTAAACAAACATTATGGAAATAGATAAACACCAACAAATCACTTGACAAATGGTTGACAACAGGCTGCTAGGAGGTGGTGAATGATGGCTATCCAAACAGCCTACAACACAGTGATTTGTGCCAAATTAGGTTGTGTTTTTTTCCTTTTGGTGGCATTTCCTGTTTGAACATGGCACATTTTATTCTATTAAGAAGGAAAAAACCTGTTATGTTTTGTTGTGTTAACGTCATTATATTTCAGCTCAAAAGATATCTGGGAAGATTGGCATTATCTGTCAGTCAGCTGGGAGCAGGCCAGTTCAACCACATTTTTCTACAGTTGATCACAGGATCACAGAGTACTGCTGGGGGTTGAATACTTTGGCTAAACACACCTTATGTACATGTTGAGGGAGGCTGAAAATTAACTTTGATTTCCATCATGTGTAAGCATTTGAATCAGTGACCAAATATCCCAAAGTTATGCTTTGAAGTTATCATGATACTGTAAGTCCGACTGAATTACGAGGAAATCTGTATGAAATAATGCATCCATTAAAACATTTCTACAATACATTTTCACTCCTGGCCTCTATAGAATTTGAGTCACTTTCTTTTTTGGTGACAGTTTTTTTTCTGTATAAATTTATATTTTCCTGTATATTTAGGTTCCTGAAAAAAAGAATAGGTTGATAGTAAAGTACTTATCAATGCGCATAACAAGTTCCTGATTGTGTCTAATAAACACAGTTTTGTGAACATTTTATGTATGGATTGAAATGTATTGATAGCATGTATGCACGTGCTTGTATACAATACCCTCCCATCCCTAGCCCAACCCCGGAAGCTGCGGTGTAATTCGAACACTGCTTTCTGTGTATCTTGGTGGTGAATATAAGTAGTTACAATTGAATCTCAAAATATCAAATATATGTTTTAGATAAGCCAAAACGTATTTAATAAAGAAAATATATATACATTTTTTTTTTTAAATTTTGCTTCACCCCAAAATACCATAGTGTAAAGGTGTTTGTGACTCTGCTGTGTGGGGTGTTGCCTCTGCTAATAAGGTCAGCTGGGTGAGGTGGTAGTGTGTGTGTGTGTGTGTGTGTGTGTGTGTGTGTGTGTGTGTGTGTGTGTGTGTGTTTCAATGGGCCTGATGAACAACATTCCAGAGAATAGACCAATCCCTACAGAGTTTTACATTCCATGAAAAGGCTGCGTGTGTGTGTGTGTGTGTGTGTGTATGTCATGATGCTTTGTGTAACATTTTTAAGTGGCTAAGAAATCATCCATTCTCCAGTTCCAGTTAATTCCTATTAAAGACACAGACTAAACACACAGAAACACATTCTTTAAGAAGAAGATATACCTAAATAGAAATTCCCTCCGGTCCAAAGCAAAGTCCCTACAGACTGAGCCACTGTCTCCCTTTTGTTGGTGCTACTAATATTAGAACCACTTAATAAAAGTAATAATATTGAGCTTTATCCACATGGCACTTTTGAAATTACAAGTGCATGTTAAAATACCAACAATAGTACAATAATATACATTAAATAATAATAATAATAATAGGATGAAAATAAAATAGTTAAGTTCAGGATGAAAACATGCAAGATAACATCCCGAAAACAGGGTTATCTGTCACTTTTAATATTTTTCAGTCTTCAGTCTCAAGGAGAAAACTACTATATGATTTAGAAGCAATCCAAAAAATGTGTGTAGCTTGGAGCACTGCCTTGAAGAGCCTGGTGGATTATAAATAAAAATTCAAAATTGGTTTAGGGTCTTTCTTACAGTCTTAAAACAACCTGCAGTTAAGTCATGGCTTGTATAAAGTGTGTAAAGTGAATATTTATATTTGTTCTGTCTGATTTTGGAAATATTCCATGATATTAGACTAAATAAGATTTTGTGATTCTTGTTGTGGCTTGGTGTTGGCTAAAGTTCTATATGGCTCGACGTTACTGTAGAATACAAAGTGACTGCTGAACTAATGCTTAAATAAAGAAGTAATCCAATGGCAAGAACATCAGAACAGCAGAAATTTCAATGATATATGCTAGCTTATAAGGTATAGTTGAATATCATCTGCATAACAATTCCTAGGAAAGAGCCTTCTGGTACACCTTGTTATTTAAATATACTTTAAGGAGTTTTTAACTGGTTATGAAACAATCTCAGTTTAATATTTTTATATGACCTCAGCTGGAAATCTCTATTTGAAATCAGATTAAACAAGGCGGTGGAAACACTACCACTTTTGTCCACAGGGATAAAGAATCAACACATAATGAAAGTTCCTTGTAGCTGGCCTTTGAGGGTTAAAGGACCAGTGTGTTATGGCATCTAGCAGTGAGACGGCAGACTGCAACCAACTGAAACCCCTTGCACGAGAGAGAAGCTATGGTGGCTGTGAATCTCCCAAAAAATGCAAAAGGCCCTATCTAGAGCCAGTGTTTGGTTTGTCTGTTCTGGGCTACTGTAGAAACAGACCCAGTCCTCCGTAGATAAAAAATGGCTCATTCTAAGCTAAAGAAAACACAACAATTGTTATTTTAAGGTTGACACCAATGAAAAACTATCTATGAATATTATATTCTATTTCTGCCAATAGATTCTTGTAAATGTTACACACTGGACCTTTAAAAGGCAGAGAAAACACTAAATAGGGGGTTTGTTCATATTTCCCAAAAGAGTCAAGAAATAAGAAATAAAAATATATAAATAGGATGAGTGTTTTTATTGTATTTTATTTTTTGCTGATCACAAGATGAGCTTTTTAGTAAGGGACTGGTTCACTGGTTTTGTAGATGCTCTGATACAGGCTTAATGCTGAAACACGTCAGCTAATTTATCAGAATATCAACACATGAGATGATTCTTTTGATGTGTTGGACTTTTTCCTGACTTTGTTTTTAGTAAATACAGACCCTTAGCATCAATCAGGGAGAACATTGTGATTATTTGAATTAAATGCTGCACATAACAACACTCACTTGTAGTCATAAAAGTATATGGGAGCACTCACAGATATCTTTGATAAAAACAAATCTACCAATGATTACTAAAAATAATTCATAAAGGCAGAATTAACAATGTTGCTGCCATAAATGTATATCAATTCTCACATCAATGTGGCGCAGAGGCAGAGTGGGTCATCCCCTAATCGGAAGGTTGCTGGTTCGATCCCTGTCTCCTGGTGCCACATGTCAAAGTATCCTTGAGCAAGATACTGAACCCTGAATTGCGGTGTGTGAATGAGTTAGTTTCTGTTTGACTGATCACTGAGTGAATGTGTGTGAAAGGGCAAATGTGCCATGTAGTGTAAAAGCACTTTGAGTGGTCGGAAGACTAGAAACCATCATTTACCATCAATGTGCAAAGACACACTCATATCAACTTAAAAAAATCTTCCCACTGGAGGCAGCAGGCAGGTAATGAGAAAGGAGGAAGTGGTGGAAAAAGAGAAGAGGTGGTTATTATCAGAAGTATAAAAATAGCCTATGACTCACCACGTATATAAATACTCAGTGAATTAAGTTAAAATCTATCAGTGTCTCCAACTACCTGCTGTCTCGCCACACAGCTGTTAACCTGCTTGTCTGCGTTTTTTTTCTAACCCACTGATGTGGAGGATGACAAAAAATGTGACTCCTGTTTTGCATAGTCATTATTGCTTTGAGTTTTATGTTTTATGTGATTCAGATAAGCATTTATATAAATATATACACATACATATATAATCATTGGGATGAGGATTGTAAGTCATTGATAAAGAGTTGATGATTTTAAAGACATTAAAGATAATATTACTAATACTTACTAACTTACTTACTTAGTAATAAGTAACTCTTGTTCTCTTAGTGTTGCTGGAACTTCACAATCTTGTTTTTATTTAAAGATAAAGAAATAAATGACCAAAAAGAGCAATTTCATATTTATTTACTCATGTATGTGATTAACAAAACAATTCTAGTACAAAATGAATTATTGTTTAGTTGACAAAAACGTGTTGTGCCCTTAAAAAGGGGAATAGTAACGAGAGAAAGATGAGGAAAACACACACGCAGCTCTTTCCTTCACTCGTCTGTATTGAATGAGGAAGAGGAGCGCGATCCCCCCACTGGAGACCCGAGGCATTACCAACAGATCGACGAACCATTAAACCACACAGATAAGGATCTGCATTACCTATCTGCATTCCTCTTCTTGGTATTACTCACTCGTTGCATATTCTTCAAATACATTCACAACAACCATAAATGAAATTACATGTTCTAAAAATAGATACTATAGTAACTGTGATAATATCAAACTGAAATTCGCTGAAATTATGTTTAACTCAAAATAAATTGGATGTATGAATAAATTGTTATATACAACTCGTCACACATGTAGTACCAGCATTACAGGGATGCTCACAAACAGGCTTGTGCCACAACAATGTCACAATCCCCTTAAGAGATGCATATCTGACATAGCAACATGTATCTTTTAACAGTACTGTGTGTCTGTTTATGACTGAACTTTGATATAGCTGCAAGTAATTATTCCAAGAATGTGTCCTGTCTAACAAGTTGATTAAGCCAATTGTTTTTTTAATCTGAAGTTCAACAGTGACAAAGTTTTTTCTTCATCTTAATTTCCCCTTGGTCAAACAATTGTCTCATAATGGTTTATTTTATTGTTCTCAATCTAATCTAGTGAACGTACACATACGAGTCCCCAAGAGTCAAAATAAAAAGAGTAAAATATGCAGCAGGTATTCCAACTGTAATTCAACAGATAGCTGTTAGCTATATAGCTACTTAATAATTTATCAGCAACACATTAGCTTCAGACAGCTAATATAGTGGCTAGCTTGATTAGCAGCAAGCTGATCATAGAAAAACTAAATTCTACTAAACTACAAATCAATAATCACTAACCAATAATGAAAGAGTAAATACAGATAGTTAGATAAAAGATGGCTGTAAATATTTCGGACACAGAGCTGACAAAATGGCAGATGTAAAGATGAACAAACCAGAGAGCAATTATTTTACTGTTTATGTATCATCCCTGTTGACAGTATATATAAAATCATCATCCCTGAAACATTATCTTTGACTAACACCACTGTAGCTGCTGGAGTGACTACAACACGTCTGTTTGACCAGTGATCCAGTGACAGAAATACACCGTCAAAGGGAGCTCAGAAATAAACTCTCACATCCCTTGACTGATACTGGAAAAGGTTTTTTTTTCTGCACTTGTTGCAATGCATAGGTTACATTTAATTGTATGTACTGTATGTAGAGCAAAGTGGTTTTACAAACCTTTTCATAGCCTTTCTCTTGCTTGTCATCAACGAACACACTGCTTTGGTAAGGTGCGGTCTCACACACACACACACACACAAACACACACACACACACACACACACACACACACACACCGAAACTTGCATTGTGTCATCCCTTCTTTGGTAAAACTAAGCATGTCAATCAAGCATATTTGCACAAGACTGCATACACAGACATAGTTATGTCTGCATTATTAGATTAGATCAGACTCTAAAGTAACATTGGATCCATTTGGCTAAAGGGTTTTGAACAGCTGTTATTGAACCAAGCACATACCTCCAGGATCACCTATCGTGTTATACATTTCTTAGGCAAACACACTCATACTCACCACTTATAGCTGGTATATTGTGCACATGTATGTAAAATTGTGTACAATTATATACGTCCTGTGTCCATAAGTCCTATGTCCACTCAAAGAGCAGTAAACTGGTGTGATTTAGCAACATAAAGATGCTGTTACTGGAGAAACTGGAAGGATGGGGAGGCTGAGATGTACATTAATGGCTCTGAGTCAGACTCAGACTCTGACTCAAACTTACGACACTGAGACTACAGCATGTGACCTAGCCTGCTGAGCCACCAGTGTGTGCCAACCACATCACTTCCTGTCCTAGCCTTCATAACTTATTGCTATAACAAAATACTGACCCGACCTGAAACATCTGTGGCGTTTCTTAAATGTATGAATACAACATTGACAAAAATATTGTATTGAGCTTGTACACAACCAATGTGTCCGACAGCTAAGCAGACAGGCAACATCCACAGTCTGTCTGTCATTTCTGTGAAATATTTAATGATAAACTGTCTTCCTCTTTTGGAACATGGTTGCACATACTGTAGTACACAGTGTATAATGCTTTCAGACATGTTGGAGTTCATTATTGTTGCTAACTCCATGGTAGCTTACCAGAAAAAGGGGGTAGGTATCGATGTTGCACTTAATCTCTGCTGCGGTAGTTTAATCAGTGTTGCTATGTGTGTACATTGCGTGTACATCAGTAAGTTAAACTGACACAAACTATGTTTAAGATGTGTGATATACAGTATGAGCAGTGTTGGGCTCGTTATATATAACTACTACGTCATATGGTTTGCTCTTACTAGACGGTGATAGACAGATGGTTCATCCAATAACCTGCCCAGTATTTTTTGAAAGTGCTTGCCCTTTTGTGGCGACATATTCCCATATGGTTCTGTGTAACAAACCACCTGGCACAGGGAGGTTAGTCTGACAATAGACTGAATACAAATTGTGTTACATCAGTTCAAAAGAAATAAAAGAAACATGTATATATACATCTTTATGTCTAATGTCTTAGACTTACATTGGTCCATCTGTGCTCAGTAAATATTTGAGTCCTTTTCTCAGAGGGCTTTACACTCTGTTCAACATACAACCTCTATCATGAGACCCTTAATTCTGATATTCAAAATCACTTTAAAGTTGCCCTGTTTTAGAGGTACACCATGGGAACAACTGAATATTTGATCAAAGGGATCATTAGGTTTCAGCTCGACTGTACAGTGGAAGGACTCCGGTTGATGGTGAACGTACGTCCCGTCCTGAAATAGTTCTCAATCTCTTCCAGTGAGCGGCCGCGAGTCTCGGGGATGCATACGGCGTTAAACAGCAGACAGAGCACACACACCACCGTAAAACACAGGTAGGGCACGTACAGGCCGTACCTGTCCACCAGGTGTGTGAAGGCGTGCGTGAGCATAAAGGCCGTCAACCAGCTGACAGTCACACACAGACCTGAAGCCACGCCCCTGGCAACCAGCGGCAACACCTCTGACATCAGCAACCACGTGATTGGACCCCATCCCATGGCGTATCCTAGGAGACAAGCAACAATGTGATGACAAAGCAAACCGCTCATAATAAAGCATATGATATTATGATACAATAAAAGCACAAAGAACGCATGTGCAGCGCTTTGTTAGGGAATGGTCACACCATGTTGAGAGGAGTTTATCAGACTCAATCTAAGTTGTAAGAAAAAGGTCCTCTACTTCTGATCGGACAGGTGAGAGCAATATCATTGAATCCAAAAAACACCATAACCACACAGTGATGTCTGAAATGTTTCCCCAATTAAGTAAGGCGTGACAATAAAATTGAAAACAATTAAATGAGCATGAGGACATTGACGTTGATGTGTAATAGAGAACGGTTATTCATGCCTCAAGAGCTTCAAATACAACAAAATGACCTGAGGACATAACAGGTCTAAACGTGTTGGAACAAGACAAAAGGTAACACCAAACAGCACATGCTTCATTAAATACATGCCTGACAGGTTATCAAATCTTATCCCAACAAACAAGCTAACTGCACACGTTTTGCACGTGTTTTTTTTTTACAAGTGGTAGTTTGCTTGAACCTGGGCAGTGTGAACTGAAATGAACCAAAAACCAAGAGTTTACAAGACCTATGCATTTAGCTGAATGCTAACATCAGCACGCTAACATTTGTTGATTAGCACTAAACACAAAAGTACAGCTGACACTACAGGAATGTAGTCAAAGACCAAAGTATTGGACAAACAAAAAACTTTAACCTGATGGTGGCGCTACATTTAAAGTCAGGGGATCCTGAATCAATCAACTTTACAATGAATCCACTAGGAGCCTTGATTGGGTAAATCGTGGACTTTACTGGACACTCACCAAATATAAACACCATGGTGCTGATGAGAGGAATGATGCTTGGTGCAGTGTATCCAGTGGTGCTATGGGAGCTGTAGTCCAAACTCACAGTGAGATTAGGCGGGGCAGGGCCTGGAGGGCAAGCTGTGGTGTGGTAGATCATGGTCAGAGTTAGAGTGGACAGGAACATCAGCATGCTTGACGTGTACAGCAGGGCTTTGCGTCCCGCCCTGTCCATTAAAAAGGCTGCGATGGCAACAGAAAAGAGGCGGACTGCTCCCACAATGGCAGCATCATACCTGACAGACACAGAACAAGGTTAAGTTAACATTAATTAATAATAATTAATAAATAGTGATTTGCACAATGCTTGATACTTGGGGAGGTAGGTAGATAAATCATTAATTATCTAGTAAACTAACTTTTACATAAGAAATAAAAACCAAACCAAGGGACAAAAAAGGAGAAGAAATCGTATATATATATATATATATATATATATATATATATATATATATATATATATAAATAATATATAAAGTTGAATACAATTAGATGTCCAACCTGGGCTCCAGGGAAACTTTGCTTTTGGAAAAGATTGGCTCCAAGTAGACCAGGATGGGCGTGATCCCCGTCATCTGTTGCAGGAAACGCATCACCACTGAGATGATGATTGGACGGTAGTAAAGGGGTGTGGCCAGCTGCGACCATGTGACTTTACCCCGTGTGTTGATGCTGTGCTGTATTGGGAGGCACACATAAACACATAAAGAAACGGTGTGCACTACTTTGTATTTATTAAAAAAAATTCTAATGAAAGGTCTTTGCCTCTAGCATGTCTACCACTGAAGTCAATGTGTGAGTGTGATGTTACCACCTTAAAACCTCGTCTGTCTCATCCTTTAAACTTAGATGAGCCCAGTGGTCCACTTAACTTCGCCCTTTAAGTTGTTAAAAACACATTATAGCTGTTATGTTCTATGCTACCTGTATGGCACTGAGCTCGATTTGTGTGTCGTAGTGTTTTCCCCTCAGCCAGCGGAGGGCCTTCTCAGCCTGCTGCTCTCTGCCCAGAGAGATGAGCCTCCTGGGGGAGCAGGGCATGAACGCCAGCAGCACAACCATCAGCACAGCCGGCAGCTCTCCCGCCACTGCCAGCCACCGCCATGGTACGACCAGACCTGTAAGTAATAGATAGTAAGAGTAGGAGCTTGGTGAAAAATGCAATACTGAACCTCCCTGTATTTTCAGGAATTGTTAACTGCTCTGGATAAGTAGTTTCAATATATAAACTACGATTACCACACTGTAGTTGTATGCCTCCACCAGCCAGTCAAGTTGCAGTTTACATCTTATTGTACATTAGTATTTATGCAGCAGTATCAGTATGTTTCCTACCCAGGGCGTAGAGTGCCAGGGCCCCAAACACAGCAGTGATCTGAGGGCAGGAGCCCAGAGCCCCTCTCACTCCTTTATGGGAGATCTCTGAGATGTAAACCTGTGATATACACACAAAAGACACACAAACAGATGTAGTATGAATTTAGGAATAACAACCCACGAGAGTAATATACAATTGAAAACATTCAAATTAACATTATAGCCATTTATATAATTTGTTTCAGGACTGTCATATCAAAATCTCTGATTTAAAAGAGAGGGCAAAATTCCTGTCTACTAGCACAAAGAACAAGGGGCTTTTGTTGGACAAAAGAGGGGAAAACTTGCATAAATGGGTTAAGAAAAGTTTCTGTAACCATGGTAACCTACAGGAATGGACGCTGCTGTCATCCCTCCAGCAACGCCTGTGAGGAAACGGCCCACATGGAGCATCCACAGATCCACAGCCCCTCCCATCAGCATGTATCTAAGACACATATACAGATGGTAATTTTTAAATCAAGCACATTTCAGTGTATTTAAAGTTTTGCCATAAGGTACCATTAATAAATCTCCTTTTGCAAATCAATTTCATTTGTGTATGCAGTATGCAGTTGTTTCTCTGTTTTCTCACATCATGATGGACACAGTTATAAAGCATGATATACAGGGAAATAGTAGGAAGAGGACAATTTTTAAGTGATTTGATTTCATATATATATATATATATATATATATATATTATATATAAGAAGCATTGTTCTGAGTGGGTGGGTGTGTCTCTTACAGCTTAGTGCATCATCTCCTATTAGCTATCTACAAGAAAGTCATTAAAGAAGTATTCAGATACTTCACTTAAGTAAAAAGAAGCAACGCTACAGTGTAAAAATACTCTTGTTACAATTAAAAGTCCTGCATTTAAAGTAGGTGTAGTAATTAAAAGTAACTTATCATGCGGAGTGGAGGCTGTCAGGCTGTTGTATTTTATATATTATTGATTTGTTACTATAGATAAGCAGGATGGTAATGCTGTAGCTCGTCACAGATTCTACCTAATTATACTATTTAGTACCCTTATCAACAATAATGCCTAATATTATAGTGATGGCTCCAATAGTCCATTCACAAATGTGATTTCACTTATGTTGCCTAATTAGACCTCCTCTCAGGACTGCAAAGTACTGCACTTGATTGATCTCCCTCAGCCTTCTGGTATGTTCGGGCGAAACACCCTGTTTGTATTCCTTCATAGAGTTAGATGACATGTCTTTCCCAGAATACCTCCACTTGACTAGAGATCTAATCAGCCAGTGTAAACATACCTGTGTAGGTGTAGTAACTCATTAGCTGTTCAATAAATATAGTGAAGTACAAAATACCATATTTCCCTCTGAAATGTAGTGGAGTGGAAGCAGCATAACATAGAAATACTTAAATACAAGAGAATTAATGTTCTCCACAGTTTGCTGGCTGTGTGTTGGTTGCTGGGACCCACCCAATAGTCGACGGCACTGCTGACGTCATGATGCTCAGCTTCCGTCCAATCATATCGTTGAGCAGCATGGCCCCCAGCCCTCCGGCTGCTGCACCCAGTGTGTAGATTGAGCCGAACCAGGCAGCCTGCTCCGTGTCCATTCTGAGCCGGGGGTCGGCATCGGGGCTCTGGAGCTTTGGCAGGACCGGAGATGAGTAGACCAGGGAGTAACCGAAGTTGAAGTTCCCCAAGACGGCCGAGAAGACGGCCAGGAACAGTTTGGAGTTGTTGATCTGGAGTAGAAGGATGTGGACAAGTTAAAACTCGGAGGATAAACTGCATCCCTACATAGATACTTTAATTATTTATTATTCAGAGCCAATGTAGGTGCAATTCAAGTGACAGAATTCAGATTAAAGGGAAGTTTGGGATCTAGTCACAGCTTTCTCTTCAAAATATAATTATAGATTATATAGATTATAGAAATAAATAGATTAGTAAGAATAAACACTTCTAGTACACAAAAGTAATGCTTGTTTTTTATTTCTGGTTCGACTTAACTCGCGGAAAATCCCAAGATGAATTTATCACAGGATTGCCTGCATGAGGACAGGTGATCTCTGGGAAGTACTTGGTACCAATATTTTACCAGGATAAAAAAAGAGGAAGAGCTGCAATATGTTTGAATTGACTTTAGGCAGGTTACTTTAGTTCAGTTTTACTCACTGGAAGCTTCTGTTTCAGGCACAATGCTTTCTGTAAGTGCAGCATTTAAACTGTCTGCACATCACTTCTAAACTCAGTTGGGGTTTTTAAGCACTTAGTATGCAGACTTACCAAACTGACAAATACTTCCTGCTTTTATGCAGTAACAGTTACTAAGTTTAATGTTTTGTTTACTTTGTTTTGTAATGATTATAGGGCTTTCTTTGCAAACTGGTGAGGATTGTTGAAGGCCTGGCTGGCTGACGGACGTAGTAATATTTATCATCTACCTTTTTAAGGTGTGATGGACACACATAGTGACTGTAGGACCTATTTACTGGAGTTATTGTTGGTTAGTTAGGGGGGAAGGATGTCCTTAGCTGTGTGCACATGAGCATGAGTCACACTTCAAGAAGATGGGTTGAGCTTTTGTGCTACATGTGTATCATGATTGCACCGTGTTAACAAGCCACCTTCGTTCAGTCTTTGATAATCTCCTTGAGTCTGCCTGCTATCACCTTCTTGAACTCTCTGTGCCTGGTTTCACCAACATAAATTATGATTGTGCATTAAATTCAACAGTTACAGGACATTTTACAGGAGTGTAAATAAAACAAAAAAACATCCAGTTGTATAAAGTCTCGGTGCAGTGCAGACCTGTAGCAGAGCTCACATGCTGTGGCTTCATAATGTGACAGGGCTCAATGCTTCTGCTCAGTTGTCAGTCAAGTCGACTTTGTACAACAGGTTACTTGCACCACGACATTGTTAAAAAACTGAAAATGTTGAGCCATGTTTAGCTTCTTCTTTTGTCTTTTGGTGTAGGTGATCCAACAAGTGTCAGTAATTGTTACCATGGAAACATGGCTCTTAGCTCTGATTTAGTCTGAAATTTGGGAGGCTAACTTTTTAGGCTTTAAAATGTTTTTTGTTAATTTTTGTTAAACTGTTACCTAACTAGACTAATCTAAGCAAAATCAACACTACAAACCAGTCTGAAACAGTCACAATAAATAGACTGTAATCCCTAAACAAGTGATGGAGAATTTACAGTTTTGTTCACATAGTAAATCACATAGTAAATCTATAAACTGCTGATGAGATTTTAAGATCAATTCAAATGAGTGAAATGTTTCAAACCTTGGATTCAGGTGATGTTGGTCTTGTGTTCAGCAGGGGAGTCTCTTCACCCATGTCTGCTCTCCTTTATCAAAGGTGTCTGATTTATTCAATCTGTTTCAGGATCTGTAAAATTTGTTCTCCTCACGAAGGGATCAAATATTACTGAAGTAAAAAAAAAAAATGCTGCCCTCTGAAAAACACTGCAAGAGGAAAAGTTTCATTCCAGTAAGCTCCAATCAGTCTTCCAACAAAGGCGATCCTTCTTTGCAGACAAGGAAGAAAAATGAAAGCAAGATGGTTAAAAATATAATCCTAAAAAAGCATATCTCAAATCATGTCTACTCCATTCAACTGATGGACTTGATCCTCCGATGGACAACGTGTGATTAAGTTTTGGAGGCTGACTGACTGAAAACGAGAGAGAGAGGTTACAGGTTAAATGGTCATAATGAAAGTGAAACTGGAAACTGTGTTTACACTGGACTTTCACAACTGAAACTGATCTGCAATTTGTCGTGTGAATTATTGAGTGATTTGAATAAGATGCACTTACTAGGCTTAGCAATGATTTTAACTTTTTAAAGTAAAACAATGAAATTTAAAGACTTTTTGACATTTGAATCCCAGGCTTATACATTTGTAGAACGAAAACTGTCACAGAATACTCTGTGACATAGTCTATTGACAGAATAAAATGCATCTACACTGACTTGTAAAAAACATATTGGTCATATTTTTGCAGTCAGTGGTGAACTTTTAAAGCCCAGTGTAAATGAAGCCACATTGTTGCAACCTGATCATGAGCAGAAAGCGGAAGGGAGGGATAAACAGCATTATTCCTGGATTGGGTCAGTCAGAGAGAAAGCAGAAGAAGAAGAGAGCCAGATCCCCTGCCAGTTGGGTTGGGGGAAGAGGAAAGTACAGGCTGCTTCTCCACCAGCCCACACATCATGGGATTTACAGCTGCAGTATTACCACACATACACACAAGTACAATTAAAAGCATGCACTGTATTTTTCACTAAAACCAGGAAAACTATATCAGCTGTTTTGGTTTACTAAATAATGTGTCATGTGTCAAATGTCTATCACAAGTTCCCCTTTACTCGTTTTGCTGGTTGAACAGTAATCATTTGTCCGACAGGAAGGTCATGAATGAAAATTTTATCAATGGAAGATCCAGTTAAAAGAATTTAATGTGGGACTGTAGTGGAGAAAGACCAGAGCAACATCATTCCCAGCACTGTAATATCCCTAAACAGCGTTTATAAATCTGCTTCCATTATTCTACAGTTTAATAAACACTGGATGTCCGTTGGTAGATTGTTTTGAGCTGTTTTTCTCTTTTCTTGTGTTCATTTGTAGGAGAGTGAGAGAGAGGCAGAGACACTACCTGTTAAATCCATCTGCATTTCCTCTGAGGTCCCCAGTGATATTGTGGAAAAATGGAAAGTGTGTTCCAGCTTGTGGGTGTGCTTTTGTGTATTGTGTGTGTGCATGCATGGTTATTGTGTGTATACAGTGTGTATCAAGACCATCCCTTTTCAGCTATGTCTTTTTCTCCTCTATTTGTTCCTTCACCTCCAGACATCCAGACAGGGACCCCGGCTCCCGGCTGCATCTATCCCAACTCCATCGCACTATGAGCAGCCTCAGGCCCGGCCACTGGCCACTGATCCTGGTCCACATGCTTCTGCTGCAAATTCAGCCTGTTAAAGGGCTGTCAGTTGATCCTGTGTCCCAGAAACTACGACGACTCAACGAGCAGGTCAGTTTGACTCTGTGTGTGTGTACATGAAGCTAACTCTATTATTACATTCACAGGATAGTTATGTTGTTATCATATTTGTGTTTTTTCAAACAGTTAGTGCTTTAACCTTAATGAGATTTATTATAACTAGTTATGTGACTATCCTCAGAATAAATGTGGCTCCTTGCCACAGCTGGGTTTACTTGATGTTCTTCAATGACTTAATATATGTTTATATGCATATATAATAGAAGTAGTAGTAGTAGTGTAAAGTGAAGTGCATTCCACATTTACATGCAAATCTGTGAAATTAGTAAATCTGTGAAGTTTATTTTCCATTTTAAAAACCAAGGATGGGACTAGGGTTTCACTTAAACTGAAATATTATTATGAAATATTATGATAAAATCTTTTGAGGTCTATGAATGCATATGTAGCCTAGTGATATGTTTTTCTCGGGATGGTGAAGTCATGACCAATCTTATGCCTCATGCCTAAACCTAACCAATTAAGGCAACTAGTACTAGCCAATCAGTAGGGTGGGTCATGACTTACAGTATATATATAAAGCTAGCTGATGAGATAGCCTTATAGCTATAGTTGATTTAACAACTTCTCTTGTTTCCTTTGAAATTCAACTTTGATCATCCAATATCTTAGTAACTGAGCTTATGATGATGATGATATGATTAATAAAGCTATCTCGCCTTAGCAGAGTAGCAGTGACTGCCGTCTCTGCAGCCTCTGAAATGAGAATACTTAGCACCTTCAGGAGGTTTACCAAAACTATCTTTTAAAAGGACAAACATAATAGCATAAGATTATTTAAGTAACATGACTGGACTTAAGGCTGAATGTCATACTTTCCATGGCCCTCAGACCAGGGGAAATCCAATTTTGTCAGCGGGAAAGCAGTGTTTATTAACATTTTTCTTCAAATTACAATTAGAACAAAGCACAAGACACTTTGCATGATAGTATAATGTATTATACAGATAGTGTTCAGGGATGGAAAAGGCACCTATTTGGCAGAATGGTTCCCAAAGGCATGAAATTAGGGTTTTACAACTTATACATCTGTTACACAGTTTAGGAGTTTTAGCTTCAAACCCCTTTTCCTCAACTTTACAGTTTCTGTCCTACCTTTGTAAAGCAGATATGTTATGAGTCATTTTGTAAAAGTACTGCAAGTAGCTGAAATGGTTGGAAAACTATTGCAACAATGGTGATTGTTCAAGAGGAAAAGTCATCACAGACACGTTATGTATGTGTTTTTTCTCCTTCTTTTAGAGGCTTTGAGAATGTTCTTGACCTTTAAATCAGTCACCAAACAGCTGCAGAAAGGCTTGTGAAAAGACATTTCTTTTCTGTTAGTTCCAGCAGTTCCAGGCGCTGACCCAGGCTCGTTTGGACATGTTGGCCCTGAACCAGAACAGAAACTCCTCGGGGGGGCTAGGGAGCCGTGTTCAGGCCTTGAGTGACCACTGGCACCACATGTCAGAGGACCTTGAGCACCTCAAGCAGAGCACAACTCAAGAAATAGAAGGTCTCAGGTTAGAGCTTGGGAACAAACACTAAAGGTCAACTGTAAATATATGTGTGGGCTGATATATGTTTGACAAATCCCTGCTGATTGTGTTTGGCAAGTAAAAGCATCATGGAAAGAGAATAGACTGAACAAGAGGAGGAAGGGCAATTTACTGTAGTCCAGCTCAGAAAATTATAGGAATTAGATCTTCATAAAGATAGAAAAAAGGATAGAATTTAAAGTCATACTCAAACTTTAAAAAGGATTTTTGAGTGGGTGGCTGGAATTGATGATTAACAGGACATATTTTGGACATCATTGTCTGACTGGACACATTTCTTCTTATGCAACACAAGTATACTATATTTTTATATCCAACCTATAATATCTATAAGATCTTACCTGTTGACATACATTTAAAACCGTATTTCATTGCAGTTGGGCTGAAACATGCTTTTTTTTCGTGATCAATTGTGCTTTACATCTGTCTTTGGGTTTTACAAATATTTATCAAAGCCAACATTAGTGACTTTGACAATGCAGTGTTCAAAATATTTTAAAAACATTTTACAGTTTTGGACAAAATATGAATAAAAATGATGGTTCATGGACCATGATGCATTTATTTTATAAATGAAATAATAGTTTTCTCATGCTGTTACTATCCCAGAGAGTGGAGTAGGAAGCTTGAGAAGAAGAGCAAGCGGATGGAGGGTCGTCTGGCTTTGGTGGAGAGGGCTGTGAGGGAGAACCGCCGCCATGCCCAGAAGCAGATGCCTGATCCCGGTCAGGACTTTTCCAACCTCACCCTAGAACTCCAGAGCCAAGAGGAGAGGCTGGCTGCCCTTCAGGTCCAGCGTGATGAGCTGATTGTTGGGTTGAAAGGGTTGCAGGAATCCCTGAAAAACCAGGCACTGCGTGTGAACCGGCTCGAGGGCCGGCTTGGGGAGGTCCTGCAGTGGAATGGAGAAGGGAAACCCAGAGGGTTGTGGAGGGCAGGAGAGCCGCTCAGCTCCAACATCACACCCCAGGAATTCTATGAACCACGCAGGAGAAGTCACACACATAGAGGAGGCAGGCCTGGAAGGATTCTGGATGGACAAACCCAACCCAGACCAGAGGGTATCCCTTATTCCCAGACTGATAATCATTCACAATCCACAGCTCAGAGCAGAAGCCCCCCACAGCCCCACCAGTACCAGGCAACACCAAATCAGCCTAAACATTCAAAGGCCCAGAGAAGAAGACCTCCAGAATATCATCCACAGATAGTCCAGTATCCAAATCCTACCTCCAAGTCCACAGATTATGCCCCTTACCATCCCCAGTCACAGATCCAGGTGCAGACCCAGACAAGGCCTTACCCGATCCAGCAGGAGAAGCTCCATACACGGCAGACTGTGCCTTATCTTCATGCCCAGCCCCAGGTCCAACGGCAGTCACAGCCTCAGTTTTATCGTCAGAGACACCCCCAGTCACATAACCTCAGTCGCCCCTCGGGGCTCCAGCCCTCGTCTCAGGCTCCAACCCATCCTGAACCCACCAAAGACAGACAGAGCAGGACCAGACTGGAGGCTCCACAGTCCCAGGCTTCAGATGCTCTCCCTCAGCCTCCATCTTATCAGCCCAGGGAGAGGGGGTGGGATGGAGAGGAGGAAGAAAGGGACACAAAGGTGAAGTCTTCAGTGATCCACAACCTCCTCCAGCTTCCTGTGAGGCAAAAGATCCCTGTAAGACCAGTTCCCAAAAAGGATGCAACCAGTAAGTAACAGTTAGAACCTCCACAACAGGTTTCTGTGGTTTGGTGGGTTGCTGCATTAAATACAATTTTTAGATTTACCATTCCCAATTATTTATACGGTTTAGTCTGGTTTAATGTAATGTTGACTAATATTTTATTAACTTTAAGTCATGACAACAGCCTGGTTGTAGGTAAAGCTTTCTCCTGTGTCTTCTCTTGTATTTAACAAAGGGTGAGATATGTCTCTTCTTTTTTTACATGTTAGCACATACTGTATCTTCTCTCTCCCTCTGTCTGCAGTCTGTAATGTGGACTCCATGCTGTTCTTCCCCTCGGCCTCAGAGGAGAACTATGTCACCTTCTCCACGACTCTCCCGGACCTTCCTGAGCTCTCTGTGTGTTTGTGGCTCCTTGTGGAGGCCTCACATGTCGGCACACTGCTCTCTTATGCCACTGACGCCAATGACAACCAGTTAGTTCTGTATGGATGCAACTCCTCTGCCTCATCTGGATCCTTCTCTGCTTCTTCCTCATCTTCCAACCCCTCTTCCTCCCCCCTCCCTTGACTTTGTCATTGGAGATCCTGTCTATCGCCGTCTCCCTGTGTCGTTGCTGCTGGATGCCCGCTGGCACCACCTGTGCGTCGTCTGGTCCTCCATCCAGGGTCGTTTCTGGCACTACATCGACCGGCGCCTCGCCTCCTCAGGCTCCAACTTTGGGAAGGGCTGGGAGATTCCCGGAGGGGGATCAGTGGTGCTTGGCCAGGAGCAGGACACCGTTGGGGGAGGGTTTGACCCTGCAGAGGGTTTTGCTGGGCAGGTGGCAGGGTTCAGGGTGTGGAACCGGGTGCTGGGTCCTTCAGAGGTGGAAGGGGTGGCAGAAGGAAGAGGCGTGCCCAGAGGGGTGGTGCTTGACATGGAGGACATAAAGGAGGTGCATGGGGAGGTGCAGCAGGTGGCATGTGAATGTTTAGAGCACTGTGTGTGAAAAAGTTACAGAGGATTCAAAGGAAGACTTTCATTACAAAACATAATTTCTGCAGAGAATGTTAATTGTCTCTTGCTTGTCTGCCTCTTAATAAAACTTTATTTTACATTTCATTGTTTCATATTCCTTGGATGTGCACACACAATATTATTCTTATTGCACTTAAAGATAGCAGTTTTTACTGCACAAGAAAGGTATGACAAAGTGTAATCTGAAAAGTAACTAAAGCTGTCAGCCAAATGTAGAAGAGCCAAAAGAAAAATATTTGCCTCTGAGATGTAGTGGAGTGAAGTAGTTGCATAAAATGGAAATACTCTTGTAAAGTACCTCAAATATACTTTTGTTACATTCCATCACTAAAAAAGATCAAAATCACAGGGAAAGTACAAAAATATAAACCTACCTAAAAAACCACAGGCATACTATAATTTTTTACTCATAACACTTTACGATTTACTGTGCAGGAGTATCAACAGTGTCTCGCTCAGGGATTCTTTAGCAGGGTCGGTAAGCTACAAGAACTGGGACTTCTCAGACTAATGAACCTAACCTGAGTTTGATTGACCAGTCAATTGTTAGTCATTACAAAGGTTCCTAAAATACCAATTAGTAAGAAGTAGAAGTTTCTAATTTGGAGTGGAACTCTTCAAATGATGGATTTAATGTTTTTTTTTTCTTTTCTGTAATTGTCACTCCTCTGTATAGTCCATTATTTCAGTTTTTTTTTTAAATGAGGGAGCCTTTAGCTAGAGGATCACTTTTAAAAGACATTCCTTCTGATCTGTAGGAAGAAAACAGCTACTTGATAACTGAGACATTATTTTTGTCAATGATTTTCAACAGTTGATAGCCACTGTATGACTGCAGATAGATATACTGTATATGTGGGTCTTCTTTTGGAGTGTCAATTGAAACTTATTTGCTTATTTTTATATGAATAAATTTAGTAAAACACATTATTCATAAGTGCATAAGTTCAAGCCCTTTGTGTTAAAAAGGTGACATATAAATAAAGTTTTACTTACTTATTTAAAATTAAGTAATTCTTGCTGTCATATTCACTCAAAACAGGGTGAAAATCTTTTGGACCACGTCAGGTGCTCATTACTGGGCCTGATGCAGGCTGAATTGAAAATGTTTTGTTTCTATGAATGTGATACCAAGCAGTATGTCAGTACGCAGTATGTGTCCAATCAAACAATCCCTCCCACTCCCAGCCCCCCTGTGTCTTGTTCTGTGTGTGTCTCTTGTTTGTCTCAAGTATTGTTTTTTTTCTTAGAAAATAGTAAAACAAAGTTGCATAAAGGTTCAGCATCTACTTGTTCTGAATACACTTTTCTCTGACATTTTAATGTGTCAAACACAGGTGTAACTAATAATGGCTGATGCTTACCTACAGTAGATGGAACAGATTCCTCATCAGTGTTATTAGTTAAACCTGTGCTTACCCTACTATAACAAGTCAAAATACTGTAAGCAACAACTATTGACCTATCATAAACTTATAAAATCCATATATACAATCAACAAATAAATTCCATTGCTGGTAAGATTATATGTGAACACCAGTGGTGGACAGAAGTACAGTAAATCAAGTACTGAACTTAAGTAACAGTTTGTATTTTACTTGAGTATTTACATTGTATGCTATTTTAGTTACTTGAATACTTTAAAGATTAAAGTTTTACATACAAAATACATGACAAACTTGTAAAACATAATGAAAACTACCAACAGTTTATAAAATACTTACAATTAGCTATAGAAGTACAATAATGCCACTTAACAGCTACACATTAATGCACCAATGATAGAAACACTGAGGGATTTATTTTTTTCTGAATAATGAATAATGTTGATATTAAGTACATTTAGCTAACAATACTCCAACACGGCACGTTTTCCCCCCTAAATTAGAGTATTTTATTCAAGATTGCAGTACTTTCTTTGTATCCACCCCTAAAAAACTACAAATCCCAGCATCCAACGCGCCTAACGGATATTTTTGGTCCTGCACGCGATCCTTACAAAACGTCACGAGTTACAGGAATGATCATGGGAAGGAAGAATAACAGTAGTTAGCCCGCAACAACTGCAAATTAATGAAATAAATAAGCCACAGATTAGGGCGGCGAGCTACCGGAGGCCAACATGGCCAACATCACGAAGAAAGTGTCGTGGTCCAGCCGAGCCGACGAGTCCGGGGCCACCGGGGAGGGAACCCCGCTGCTCAACGGCTCCGAGCAGCCCCGACACTCCAGACAGGTACGGCTAGCATGTTGGCTGAGTTAGCCTGACAGCTGTTACTCCTGAAAGCAAGATGCTGTGTCATGTTTTAATCGACCACTGTAAGGTTACGTTCAGTGCTGCATGGGTCGTGGAGGCTTGAAGTGAGTGTTTAAAGCACGTCCGCGTACGCACAGCGTTCATTATGCGGTGTGTTTTCATGTGTTGTGGTTATGTTTGCAGTTTGGGGTATTTGATGCGACAACAAGCTTTGTTTGGGACGGACTGTAGCTGCATGAAAGTAATTTAATTAGTGTTAATTATATTACTTGCATGATGCACGTGATTAGATTGTAATATAAATAAATAAATAATCAGATTACTGAGACTTTTAAAAAAAGCTATAGCTTGTTACTTGGGTGATTCAGTAAAAGAAAGTGGAAGGGGCAGTCTGATGGTGACATTAATAGGACACATTCATCATTATGAAGACATTAACCTCATGAATGTAGAAAGCATGATGATACTGTAAGTTATGTGTCAATGTGACAGTTCACAAGTTATACTTCTCAAATACTCTAATCAGGTTACATTGGGTTACAGGTAATATGTGCCTGTTGTAGATACTATTATAATTCAGCACAAGGTTGCCTTTACTATGTTAGAGGACAGACTAGTATTTAAAATAATCTGATCATTTTATAAGAAGTTAGACTTGCTGTCTTCAGACTGAATGAGTTCACCTGTCTGGCCAATACAGAAACTCCAACTTCCTTTTTCCCCTGTTACATCCACAAGAACTAGTTACTGAGGGCCAAAGATGGAAGTAAATTATCTGTGCTTCTTCTGTTAACATACTTCAGTAGGAGAGAATAAGAATTTTCAAACATGTACATTTACTTCAGCCTCATGTCAGACATCAGTAAATACACAGTATTTTTGCTCTACTAGACGAGTGTTATGTTATACAGTGTTAGTTTCTTGAACCCTGTTACTCTAAGCTGGATACCAACATGTATGCGGTGTTAAAACATCAGCCTGAAAATTGCTACACTTAGCCATACATATATATATATTTCTGTTACTGTCTGTGATGTCTGTAGCTGTCTGAAGGACGCAGTATATTTCAGATAGGCAGACTCAGCACGGTGGATTTGGAGGAGGAGATAACGTCAGATGAGGTAATGTCTGAGCTCGAAACGTCACCGCACTCTTTCTCTCTGTGTCTGTCGCTCCTGTTGATCATCACTCCATCAAAATCCTTAGCGGCATTTCTCTTAGACTCCTGAAGTGTTGTTAGTTCATCCACTATAATAACAAATTCCCACCTATACACAACCAAATAACCAAATCAATGAGAAGCAATCAGCTATGTCTTAAAATGACACATGCAGGAATTCTGAAGCATGAAGGGAGAAATAACAGTCGACTTAATGTCATTTAGTCATGCTCAGGCTGAGTCTGTGTACACACGGAGCTTTAAGGCCTGATTTGTGAGATGCAGCCTGCGATAAAAGTTGAGGCTTGAGCCAGCATTGTATGTAATTAAATCTCAGTAGCTCTCTTCTAAATTACGGCTTAAACCCAACATGGGAAATCTGACACAGAGATGACCCGCTGATAGGCCAAATCAGCACAGCGACCATTGACTCATCCGGTCTGCTTAAAAGACACGTGTTTGGAAACTGTCTGCCGGTTTCCATCGTGATGCATTGCGAATGATGAATTGATGCAGACCATGTGTTTGATAATGTGCACAACCCTGACCGCATTTAGAATTTTCAGAAACGTATTGATCATCATTGATCAAATAACGCACAGAGCAACAGGCCGTTTAAGCAAGATCTTATCCTGCTATAAATGTGAAGACAAATACATTTAAATATGGTTGAATTAGCTTACACTAGAGTCAAGTTTTGTTGTGTAGCTCTTTGCACAGTCACAGTAAGTTCAACCAGGCAATTAAAACTCCACAAATAAAACCCTGTGCAGGACTGTATGACTGAAGACATCACATCTGTTTCCCTCCGTGACAGAAACCATCAGATTCAGCTCCTTTTTCACTGGCTGATGGGAATGTGATGCCGTGCATGTGATTTGCTTGATTGTTGTTTGCTGTAAAAACAAAAGTGTTTTGGTCTGTTTCTGTGAATGTCAGCTATAGTTGCTTCATTCGCTGCTGATTGCGTGGCTGTACAGAGCGGTGTGACACACTTAACACTGCATGCAAATGTGAAATGGAGTTCTTTTGAATTGCCTGTAGCCGGCTTGTATGTATGTCAGAATGCACTCTTTTGCACCAGTCTTTCCTTCAACACTAAATAGTCTGCATTACCATTGGAAGAACACACCAGCAGGAATAAACTCTTTCTTAGCTTTGGCTAATTTATGCTAAATGTTCTGGAGGAAACACTGGTGCGTTTCTTTTCACAGTCACTGCATCTTCTTTATTAATGCTCCAGTATCTGAGTTAGATAAAAATCTAAGTCACACTTAGATTAAAAAAATGCTTTCTCATGTTGTTTCAAATGCTTGTGAAACGCTGCTGTGTTCACTGTTGTTCATCCAAAATGTTTGATTTCTCAGTTCCCAGCTCCGTGTAGTCCCTCACATGACTCCACAGGTCAGAGGTTGTGGGTCAGTGATGGTGTGGTGACCTTTTGTTTTTTCTGTTTTTTCCCCTGCAGGACTCTCTTAGGGGTCGGCCTAAAGAGATTCCTCATAATGAGAAGCTGCTGTCGCTTAAATTTGAGGTAACTGAGTGCTGATTTTTAGATCATTCTGATTAAACAAGTAAAACCCCCTACTGCAAGTGTGTGTAAAGAATTAGAAAATGTTAATATTTCTGTGACTCCCTGTAGGAGTTTTTTTTTAAAAAAAGACTG